CTATGGAGCAGTGAGGGGAACGGCACCTCTGTACCTTCGGGCTCTGATCAGTCCCTACACCCAAACGAGGGCATTGCGTTCATCCACCTCTGGCCTGCTGGCTCCCCTTCCTCTGCGGAAGCATAGTTCCCGCTCAGCCCAGTCAAAACTGTTCGCTGCTCTGGCACCCCAATGGTGGAACAAGCTCCCTCACGACGCCAGGACAGCGGAGTCACTCACCACCTTCCGGAGACATTTGAAACCCCACCTCTTTAAGGAATACCTGGGATAGGATAGAGTAATCCTTCTACCCCCCCCCCCCCCCCCCCCCAAAAAAAAAATTGTAAAGTGGTTATCCCACTGGCTATAGGGTGAATGCACCAATTTGTGAGTCGCTCTGGATAAGAGCGTCTGCTAAATGACGTAAATGTGCCCTTGAGCAAGGCACTTAACCCTAATTGCTCCTGTAAGTCACTCTGGATAAGAGCGTCTGCTAAATGACTAAAATGTAAATGTAAATGTAAGTCTCTGAAGGTCCTTGAGTGGCCCAGCCAGAGCCCGGACTTGAACCTGATCGAACATATCTGGAGAGACCTGAAAATAGCTGTGCAGCAACGCTCCCCATCTAACCTGACAGAGCTTGAGAGGATCTGCAGAGAATAATGGGTGAAACTCCCCAAATACAGGTGTGCCAAACTTGTAGCGTCATACCCAAGAAGACCCGAGGCTGTAATCGCTGCCAAAGGTGTTTCAACAAAGTATTGAGTAAAGGTTCTGAATACTTACGCACTTAGCAACAATTTTGAAAAAAAACCCAGTTTTTGCTTTGTCATTATTGGGTATTGTGTGGAGATTTATGAGGTTAAAAAACAATGTAATCAATTTTAGAATAAGGCTGTAACATAACAAAAGGTGGAACATTTGAAGGGGTCTGAATACTTTCCGAATGCACTGTATCCTGACAATTATGCCTTATAAGACAGCAACACATAGTTCTACATTCAGTCAAAAAGCATAAGGAGGAAATTCCCAAACAGCCATAATATTAATGGCATGACAACATGTTTGGGGAAAATAAACTATGGCCTTTTTTTCAGTTTTATGCATAACCCCTGTTAAACCAGTAGCCTTCAGGTCCATTAGAATACATAAGGTCAACTAAACAGCTGTAGTTGTGAGACCAAAGACAATTGTTGTCAAGATAAATCAAAGCAACAAAGTGGAGGGGATGCACTTTGTATACCTGATGCTATTCTGATCATTCTTCTCTTAATAAATGAGAGGCATAAAGGCCTATTAAATCTAATATTTAGGCTGTATCGATGCATAATTAACAAGCTATTTATTGGCACAACAGAGGTGGTGCATGTTTTGTTGTATTTCTGAACATATACACACACAAACACACACCTCACTAATGTTACATTTTAGTCATTTAGCAGACGCTCTTATCCAGAGCGACTTACAGGAGCAATTAGGGTTAAGTGCCTTGCTCAAGGGCACAGACAGATTTTTCACCTAGTTGGCTCTGGGATTAGAACCAGTGACCTTTCGGTTACTGGCACAACGCTCTTACCCACTAAGCCACCTGCCACCATGTTATCAGGGTTCACAGGGATCACTCGACCCAGATGCCACATCATGAGTGGAAGTGGGAATAAAAGTAGGAAGTGGAAATAGTCTATATGCTTTTTCTTACCCAGTCCAGACAGAGTGAGGTGACTGTGTGTCTTTGTGTGTGCTAGAGGTCTTCACGGATCCACCCGAATGCCCGACACACACCCAAACTTGTCCCTTGGGTCCGGGTCCTGTTTGATTATCATCTGGTCTCGGATCTATGTAACTACAGCTGATAGACTCGAATGGACCCGACCACGGCTCTGCATAGCCTATAGCCTATTTATTTTACGCTAATAAGGTGAATTTATTGACTTATAGAAGGCCTAGCCAACAAATAAAGACCTATTCGTTAACCAGAAGAGCAACTTGGCTGATAAACATAATTATGTCACTCCGGTCTGGTCTAGATCCTGACCAGTTAGGGTATGGGTCAGGTCTAGGTCTGGTTGTCGTTGTGTCCATTTGGGTCCGGATCCAACTTTTTGGACCAAAAAATACTGTGTGTGAGCTAAAACTTAAGGAATATGTTACGTTAATTTATAATAACAAAAATATAAACGCAACATGTAAAATGCTGGTCCCATGTTTCATGAGCTGAAGTAAAAGATCAAATTTTCGATATGCACAAAAAGCTTATTTCTCTCAAATATTTTACAAACATTTGTTTACATCCCTGTTAGTGAGCATTTCTCCTTTGCCAAGATAATCCATCCACCTGACAGGTGTGGCATATGAAGAAGCTGATTAAACAGCATGATCATTACACAGGTGCACCTTGTGCTGGGGACAATAAAAGACCACTCTAAAATGTGCAGTTTTGTCACACAACACAATGCCACAGATGTCTCAAGCTTTGAGGGAGCATGCAATTGGCATGCTGACTACAGGAATGTCCACCAGAGCTGTTGGCAGAGAATTGAATTTGAATTTCTCTACCATAAGCTGCCTCCAACATCGTTTTAGAGAATTTGGCAGTATGTCCAACCGACCTCACAACCGCCGACCACGTGTAACCACGACAGCCCAGGACCTCCACATCCGGCTTCTTCACCTGCGGGATCGTCTGAGACCAGCAACCCGGAGAGCTGATGAAACTGAGGAGTATTTTTGTCTGTAATAAAGCCCTTTTCTGGAGAAAAACTCATTCTGATTGGCTGGGCCTGGCTCCCCAGTGGGTGGGTATGCCCTCCCAGGTCCACCCATGGCTGCGCCCTGGCCCAGTCATGTAAAATCCAGATTAGGGCCTAATTTATTTATTTCAATTGACTGATTTCCTTATATGAACTGTATCTCGTTGAAATTGTTGCATGCTGCGTTTATATTTTTGCTCAGTATATATGGTTAGGGTAGGAGTTAAGTGAATATTAGTTGTTAAAATACAACCTGTAGAGTGAGCCTGTACATGTAATGCTTCCAGTCACTGGACAGGCTCCAGCCAGACTATTACTACCAGGGAGGAGAGAGGTAAGGCGCTTAGCCCTCTAAGACGTGCTTGGCTGGGGGTGGATTTACACTACCTGAGTCACCGCCCCGTCTGTAGAAGGTGAGGTCATCACCTTCAACTGTAAACAACATCTACTGTACAGGGGTCTCCCCCCAAGTTCATTCATCAATGGTAAAACCATTATCCCAATGGTGAGGGCTGGGGTAAGGGTGGGCTGGCTGGTGACAGAGGAGAAGGGGATGGAGGTGCAGGAGGGAGTGGAGGGGCCTCGCTCGGACCAGGGATCACCTGAGGAGACAATTGACAGAGAGAGAGAGAGAGAGATTCCCCTCTCACTCTGTTCTTGTTGGATAATGACACCACAATTACAAAATAACTTTTATTCATCATCATCATCATCCAAAAAAAGAGGGCCATTTCATATCACGGTGAAGTTATGAACCAAACAGATGAGATTAAGTGGACAGTTTTCCATCATTGCTTGCATTAGAACACTACAAAAAGTGACCCGTAGAGAGGGTTCAGCGGAAGTTCCATGCGCAAAAATACTATAAAATATTACAACTGGCAGCTCCAAAAATAGATCCTTATTACAATGGTAATTAAAACATTGCATGAGTGTCAAATTATTAAATTAAGAGAAATAGCTCCAAAACCTGTCGGATGTAGCATATTTAAGACAATACGGTAAAGTTTAATCAGCACAAACATTCATAACTGAAATCCCCCTAAGGTTTGACAACCAGGAATACATCAAACTAGAGATTCTTGCCATCATAAGATGCTATTATGAACTTTCCACAAAGGCAATATGTATGAGTAATAAGTGCGTTAATGGCGAATATATAACCATCAAACATGTCAACGAAGGTACCCTGTGTTTCTTTTAAATCAAATTGAATGAGATAAAAATATCTGTAAAAGAAAGCTCTCTAAAAAACTCACTTCTGTGGAGATGTTCTTTACACTACCAAATGGAGCTCGTACCAGTAGTGATATTTCATACCGAAAAATTCCAATAAATCGGGTAAAGCTTTTTTGACTAGCAAATAATTTATCCTTTTCAGTCATTTTTTTCTATTATGTCTATATAAACGGAAGAACATTGACGGATAACTTTGTTCCTCTTTTGCTGTGTATCTGAGAAGAGGCACACATTTCTCATGTTCCACATTTGTGCACACACGCTCGCACACTTCATGTACAGACCAGTGATGTGTATCCAGCACCCTGGATGACTTACATGGAGCGTTGTATTGAAGCCATCGCACAGCCATCTTGGTACTCCTCCTCCATTGTAAAAAAATATTTTAGAAGCTATAGAAATGCATTTATTAATGTCTACATTCGTTTTTGACACATTTATTCTATTACAGACACCTTAATGAATACTTTTTTTATAATATTATGTGCGAGAGAGCAAAACATTGAAATCTATTAAAACATTTTCCTTAAAGTTGAAAAGAAATTGACTACTAATGTTACTGTCCCCACTATAACAAAAAAACATTAAAATACATGTTATTTTGTCCTTGAAACATTTCATTGTAATACTGGGGAGTGCCAATATGGCCGACCCATGGCTTCAAAGCTTCTCAATGGCCTATACATCGCATCAGCAATCCAGGGTTTATATACATCATTGGTACAGACCAGCACAAGACTGGGTTGCCATGAAAACAACAATTTCTCTGGCAGTCTTCCATCGCCCAACCAACCGTAGTTCTCTTTGTCGACCCCCAAACCCCGCAAGCGAAAAAAACAGCAGGTCAATTTAAATTAAACAGCCTGTCCCAGAGTCCACAATAACTTACTGTATGTCAATAACTTACTGTTTGTCTAATTTAATAAATATACTCTGCTTCCACTGGATTTTGCTAAGAGAGTAGAAGTGCTGAGGTGTGTCTTGCTCACTGGCTCTCCTGAGTGGTTATCGCTTTTTTTTGGGGGGGGGTCAATCGATGCGGTTCCCGCATATCGTAAAGCGGTCTACATCCAGCAGGTCCTTTTTAGGGGTCCTGTGCTTGAGCTCTGTGCCTTCCATTCCTTCCCCCTCATTCTGCTCGGGAGTGGCAGGGGGAGAGGGGGTGAGGGTGTCAGGGTCCGGTTCTGGCTCTGGGCTGGTGGATGGCCTGGTTGGGGTGGTGGTGGGGGGAGGGGCCACAGTCTCTGCCCGTAGGGTGGGGCTGACGGTGGGGGTAGGCTGGGTGGTGACAGAGGAGGAGGGGGGGATGGAGGTGCATGAAGGAGTGGATGGGGACCGCTCAGACCACAGATCCCTTGATGGATCACCTGATGAGGCAAATGACACAGAGAGAGAGGTAGATTTAACACAAACATGAACAATACTTGGTCATTTGAAAAAAGTAACACTAATGGTAAGTAACACTCACACATAGATAGGAAGCAACTAAACAACAACATCAAACTTCTCTTTTGATTAGATTTGACTTCAGAGTGACCAAATAAACTGGACAACCAACCAAATTGACTTATAGGAATATAAACTCACCTAAAGTGCATTTGGAAAGCCTTATTCTAAAATTGATTAAATTATTTTTTCCCCTCATCAATCTACACATAATACCCCATAATGAGAAAGCAAAAACAGTTATATTTTTATATTTATTTATTAAAAGTATTCAGACCCTTAACTCAGTACTTTGTTGAAGCACCTTTGGCAGCGATTACAGCCTTGAGTCTTCTTGGGTATAATGCTACAAGCTTGGCACACCTGTATTTCGGGAGTTTCACCCATTCTTCTCTGCAGATCCTCTCAAGCTCTGTCAGGGTGGATGGGGGGCGTCGCTGCACAGCTGTTTTCAGGTCTCTTCAGAGATGTTAGATCGGTTTCAGGTCCGGGCTCTGGCTGGGCCACTCAAGGACATTCAGAGACTTGTCCCGAAGCCACTCCTGCGTTGTCTTGCCTGTGTGCTTAGGGTTGTTCTCCTGTTGGAAGGTGAACCTTCACCCCAGTCTGAGGTCCTGAGCAGGTTTTCATCAAGGATCTCTCTGTACTTGGCTCCGTTCATCCCCACAGCATGATGCTGCCACCACCATGCTTCACCGTAGGGATGGTGCCAGGTTTCCTCCAGACGTGATGCTTGACATTCAGGCCAAAGAGTTCAATCTTGGTTTCATCAGACCAGAGAATCCTGTTTCTCATGGTCTGAGAGTCCTTTAGGTGCCTTTTAGCAAACTCCAAGCGGGCTGTCATGTGCATTGTACTGAGGAGTGGCTTCCGTCTGGCCTCTACCAGAAAGGCCTGATTGGTGGAGTGCTGCAGAGATGGTTGTCCTTCTGGAAGGTTCTCCCATCTCCACAGAGGAACTCTGGAGCTCTGTCAGAGTGACCATCGGGTTCTTGGTCACCTCCCTGACCAAGGCCCTTCTCCCCCGATTGCTTAGTTTGGCCGGGCGGCCAGCTCTAGGAAGAATGTTGGTGGTTCCAAACCTCTTCCATTTAAGAATGATGGAGGCCACTGTGTTCTTGGGGACCTTCAATGCTGCAGAAATGTTTTGGTAACCTTCCCCAGATCTGTGCCTCGACACAATCCTGTCTCGGAGCTCTACGGACAATTCCTTCGACCTCATGGCTCGATTTTTGCTCTGACATGCACTGTCAACTGTGGGACCTTACATAGACAGGTGTGTGCCTTTCCAAATCATGTCCAATCAATTGAATTTACCACAGGTGGACTCCTGGAAACAGGATGCACCTGAGCTCAATTTCGAGTCTTATAACAAAGGGTCTGAATAAGGTATTTCTGTTTTTATTTTTAATACATTTGCAAAAATTTCTGGAAAACTGTTTCGCTTTGCCATTATGGGGTATTGTCTGTAGATTGTTGAGGGAAAAAAACGATTTAATCAATTTTAGAATAAGGCTGTAACGTAACAAAATGTGGAAAAAGGGAAGGGGTCTGAATACGTTCTGAATGCACTGTATATCAAAGGGTCAAAAAGACAAATCTACAGTAATACCAGTAGACTTCTCAAGTCCACCAATCATGGCCTTAAATGCCAGTATGCAGTATAAATGGCATTACATTACACAAGTTAGGTCAGGCAAATAGAATAATTCATGACGGCCGTTATATTCAAATAAAGTCGAGTGAAGTAGTAGCAGCATATCAGCACATGGGTTACTACTCTACGGAGAAAGCCATTTGCCCAGGGCGCCGACATGCTTCACTTGCATATAAAAAGAGTGTGTTGCAAATTAGACTTTACCAGGCGAGCAGCAAATCGTGTGTGTATTCCCCAGACTGCATGAAATAAATGTGTGCTCCTCTTAAGGCAATAACACATGAGTAGGGGATACAGCAGACCTACTTTACAACATGCATAGTGGTACTGAACCAGTGGTATAACCATATAATTAGGAATTAGAAAACTAGAATGGACATGAACCTTCTGATGATGGGATAAAGGTCAGCCATTTTGGTCAGGGAGTTGGTCAACCATGGTTTGTTTGCCAGTGCTGTGATAAGATAGTGTAAAATAATGAATTTGAAGAATGTATCTGCACTGTATGTTAGCTAGTAGCCAGACAGTTTTAGAGGAATGATTCCATTCATTTTTCAAATGAACTGCCAACATTCCATTCAATCTACAGCCATACCAGTTGATGATAGGACTTACACAAGTTGTAAATGCAACAAGTACTGATATTGTATCATATAATAGCACTCACAGCTTTCCAATATATCAATTGTTTTAGACATTTATGGTCTGTTTACATATATTTTAGAGGCTATTTATACAGATTTATTTTATAAAACCAGTATAAACTGTATTTATAATTACTGTATATGACATTATTTTAGTTGACAATAATTATTAGACAATTTATGATATCACATCTTACTTTTATTTTCCTGCTTAAGTAAAATCAGGACTATGCCTCTACTGCCATTCATTCCAATTAGACTGGTTTGGATTTGTCCCTGACCAATATGGCTGCCATTTTCACCCCATTATGGAACTTTTAGGGTTTATGACATAGCCCTCTAGTAATTTAGTAGGCTCTTGATGGGTATAACCAACAAGCAATTAAGCAATTCATCCATTTGTTCCTGAAATAGCCATATGCTTTCGCCATAAGCTTTCATGACACTGCCTTAGGGAAACCACAGTTGCTCATCAGTATATTCTTTGCCACAGAGACCTATAAACATATGGCACCTCCAATTAGATCTTCATCCAAATCATTATGAAGAACAAGAGACGAACCAGTCTGTTAGTATAGTAAGGAATCCATTGGAATCAGGGGGCTAAAAGTAACCCATTTTGCCAGGGAGGTATTCATTAGGCACCAAACAGAATGAAACTGACTAAAACAGGGAGTGACTACCTGAACGCGTCCAATAAGAGACGCTCATATTCATTTTCTGACGCAAAGCGTTTTGTTACGGTGTGCCCTAATGAATGCAGCCCAGAAGAGACAGCCGGGTTGGGTACAGTACAGTTACAGATGGGCTAATTAAGAATAGCAACGCAAGCGATCAGGCTTCAGTGAAACCACATGATATGGATTGGCACTTTAACATTTCACATACTATACTACTGATTCTTTCGCCTGAAAATTGTGGTTCTGTAAAAACACAGGAGTGAGAAAAGCTTTGATGTGACGTGGTGTCACTTGTCGCTCTAATGCTCTCAGCTTAGTGCAGCTGGCTCGTCTGCCACGCTGGAGAAAAAACGGTTAAGCTCCACACACACACTCGCTCGTTCACACACAACTGACAATTTATCTCTGTCATGCGCATTGAGCAGCAGTTTCAGTTTTGAATTTCAGTAGCAGTTTCGATGTGGATGATGGAGAGATGTGTGTGTGGAGATGATGGAGGTCAATTACCCGAGTCGGAATACGCATCTGCTTGCTTGAGGCTGGGTTTGGCAAGCTGGGATTGCTAAGAAGAATGAGTAATTTAATGGAACCGAGTGTCTTATTGAGGCTGGGTAGGCTGTATGTGACTGACTGGGTTCGAATCTGGGTCTTCTGCATGCTATAAGATTGTGTTAGCCCGCTGAGCAAAGGTCTAGACTCAGGGAGCTAACGCAAGTCTTCATGGTTTCATGCAAGGTTTATACCTGTTCCTAGGTCATTATTGTTAATGAGAAGATGTTCCCTTCCTGGTAAAATGAAGGTAAATAAAGATAAATACTAGGGTATTGTCTGTCACTGGGTACCTGAGGGGACAGTACACCTAGAAGTCTTGCTGGTTCTACTGGGCGTCTTCCCGGGGGCAGCTGTGGGGGGCCTCTCAAACAGCTTGTCCTCCATGTTGGCTCTCTTCACGTACACACACGACTTCCCCAGCAGCACAATACTGTTCAGCACCTTCAGGGTTACCATTCTACACATGGACAAGACGATAAGTAACGATATTCAAGGTGAAAGTGAGAAGAGAAGCAGACTATAGTCATGAGTGTTTTTTTCCCCATTGTGAACAGGTCTAGATTTGATTCTATATGGAAATACAGATAAAGTATACTGGTATGGCTTTTTAGGCACATAGTTGATATTAAATTAAATGTCAAATTCAAAACGCTCAATCTCACCGTATCAGGGCCTCCATTTCACTCGCATATGCGCCTAAATATTTAGCTGTGTGACCTGGAATGTTTATTTAGTAACATCAGTGCACCTACAAAAATTAAGGACTTTAATACCTCAATTGTGCTCCTACATTTCTTTGTGTTCGCCTACATTTTTTTACGTAGGCGCACACATGCTCCTTGTAGAAAAGGTCAGTGTAGAGCCCTGTGTATTTAGGGAATAGTAACACCATCCACAAAGTAGCCATACACCTCACACTGAGTATGAAGGGTTTTTACTGTGTAAAATTAAAGTTAGGCTAAGTTCATGGGCAGAAAACAGCTCCAGGACGCACTAGGCTTCTGCATATCTGAAGCTTATGATGCATATGAAATACGATCGAGAGAGACAGCCACATCTAGGTCTGTGGACCAAATGCCCTCCGAGGGCTTTTGCGAGTCATACTGTGGTCTTTTCACAGATACCAGGGTCTGTTGGGGACACAGCTATTTTTAAAATGGGGGTGAGGGGGTGGGTGGGCACTGGAGATGACAACGTTGTATTCCACCTCAGGCTAACTGTTCAGTGGTCTATACCCCCAGGGTGGGAAAAAAGAAAAGATCAGAGGAAAAAAAAGAAGCCCTATCAAAGCCAAGCAGAGGGCTAACGTGCAGGCTCATGCTAACGTAGCTCAATGGGGACAGACTGGCACGGACATCATTGAGGCGCTCCATTTAAATACACATAGAATACAGTGTGAATGCTATGCTAACAAATCATGCTAGCTGTACTGCGTGACTGACGCATCAAGTTTATCTATGAAACTTGTGGAAGGGGTGCTATGTAATTGCAATTCATCATACATGACAAAGAATAAGAACATGATTTGAGTCTTACCCCAAGTAGAAGAGGAACACACAGGAGTAGGACAGGGCTCCCTGTACATTCACTGAACTCATCACCACTCGGATTAGCTGTCAATCACAAAATAGAAAAGCTTCAGCAGAAACATTGTTGCATGTGACAGCAGTAACAGTTAATCAGTATTAAAATCAATGCAACAAAATGGAGTTATAAGTCAACTACATTGTCGTGCAACTAATAAACAATTTTATACAAGATGGAACTGTTAGTTGATTGATATCAATATAACACAATCAAAAGTTAGTGCCCACTTAAACACACTGCTCATCTACATACAATGGAAGAGGAAACACTGCATTGGACTGTTGTACAAGGCTGATCTTACCAGGACTGCAAGAGGAAGAGGAATGAAGCCCATTCTTCTGGCTACGGAATCGCTGTAGTCTGTGCAGGCCTGCCCATTGACAAAACAAGCCTCAATAACACATCAACTACAGCAGTGAACATAACCCATTGATTAAAACTGTAGGGACAATGGAGCTGGATGCCTAATCACTGTGTTCGAGAGATGCTACGTACGTTTTTCTGCCGACAGCTGACGAGATCAAAGGCCAGGCTGGCTCTGTATTCACTGTATACCTGCGGAGACAAAACAGCCATGTTACTATCACAGAGATACACAGAACACCTATAGTTTTAGTTTATTATTATAATGTATCGCTATGGTTATGTTGTTTGATATGACGCGTGTAACCATCTGCTATGGCTCTGAGAAAAACATTGATACCATTAGACTAGACCACAAGTGAGTATGACCGACTAGATTTGAAGACCGTGTTAGCCGGCTGAGCTAAAGCCTAGGCAGTTTTCAGGTCTCAGTGAAGGTTACTTGTTACGCGAGAATGGTTCACCGAACCGCCACCATTACACTCCTCCCCCCGATGACCAACTCCACAGAATCACGGCACCAATGTATCCGACTGGATTCGAACCCGGGTCTCCTATTCGCCACAAGACTGTGTGAGCCCTTTGATCTAAAGCCTTCAGGTCTTAGGCAAGATTTCTCACCACACAAGTGCTGGGAATGGGTCACGATTGACAGTGGGATATGGAGCTGCTAGTTGTTGTGGCTGAGGATGAGGATGTTGCTGGCTTTTGGTGTGCTTGCTCAGTAGCCCTATTGGGGCATAATGTGATGTGCTGTGTTGTGATTTAGAAAGAGGGAAGAGGAAGGGAGTGGAGGGACTCATGGCACGCTACAGAGATTGAGGCACACAGCAGTGTGGACGGTTAGCTAAACAACAGCGCCACGCTGTATATAAAAACAGGGCCAACCACTGTATAATCCTTCAAACATGAACGGAGCAGACCCTCTCCAGTGAACATACCTTTCACAGTCACACACCCAGAGGGAAAGTGTTTTCTTAATGAATTTATTCAGTAGATTTAATTTAAATTCCTTTTCAAGATTTTTTAAAAGCGCAATTTATTCCTAATGGGGATTGTTTTATTTGTGAACTTCAATTCAATTCCTTGAAGCAGGTGAATTAAAATGGGATTGACCTCAAAACACACTTTTCCCTTTTGGTGTGCAACTGCAAACTGTTTGAATGGTTTTCATTTGATTTAACTCCAATTCATCAAATCATGAATTATCATCTGTGTGATCCATCCTTACATCTGCCGTGATCTCGTTGAACTTGGTGATGAAGGCGTGTTTGATGATGTCCACGGCGATCTCTGAGGCGATCACCATGAAGACGTCAGGTAACAACACCCAGAGATGATCTGGAGACAAGACAACCTGTAAAGTGAATTCTAAATCTATTCTTTCTTTACCTTACTGAATGTCTGGTCTTTCTTTTTAATTGACTCAATTGTACATTTAATGATTTCTTGGTCTAATCATATATTGTTTTAGGCTTAGTACAATAAGTTCTGTCACAGGGTAAAAAAGTATTTGATTTGACTGATACAATACAATCTTCATCACATTCATATCCATGTGGTGCAGCAAGTCTGCCCAAAATGTTTTTGGATGAGGTCTAGGTCATACCATAAGTCTCAGACCCTGTCAGTGTACAACATTAGCATCATGACCGACATTAGCATCATGACCGACATTAGCATCATGACCGTTGCTGACATTCCAAATCTGTCAGGGCCAGCTGACTGTATTAAGAGAGCTGTCAGATAGTGCAGCCTTACTGTCATCCCTCCCTCCTATCATCATCACAATGTCTTATCCACTAGCGGTTTCAATGGAACGGCTTTAAAAGAGCACCAAGGATCAGGGTGATTGCTTTTCCAATGGTAGCAGTAGCAGCAAACTAGTGTTACATAAATTATTTCTTAGTTCAATACAGAATATAGCCTACATGCTACAACATTGATACAAACAGATTCACCTGTGGGCCTCCCGAGCGGCGCAGTGGTCTAAGGCACTGCATTGCAGTGCTAGAGGCGACACTACAGACCCGGGTTCGATCCCGGGCTATATCACAACCGGCTATGATTGGGAGTCCCATAGGGCGGCGCACAATTGGCTCAGTGTCGTCCGGGTTAGGGAGGGTTTGGCCAGGGGGGCTTTACTTGGCTCATCGCGCTCTAGCGACTCCTTGTGGCAGCCCGGGCACCTGCAGGCTGACCTCGGTCATCAGGTGAACAGTGTTTCCTCCGACACATTGATGCGGCTGGCTTCCGGGTTAAGCGGGCGAGCGTTAAGAAGCGCGGTTTGGCGGGTCATGTTTCGGAGGACGCATGACTCGACCTTCGCCTCCCGAGCCCGTTAGGGAGTTGCAGCGATGAGACAAGATCGAAATTGGGGAGAAAAAGGGGCTAAAAGACCAAAAAAAATATTCACTTGTTCCTGTGAACATAATAAAATGGATCCAAGAAATCCCTTTGTATGTTTAGCTGTAATGTGTGTGAAATGGTTACCTGGGTTCCAGGAGAACTGCTCCATGTTCCTGAGGCAGACGATGAGCAGGAGCACGTAGTTGGTGAACCGTTCCTTGATATCTAAAATGCAAATAAATACATATTCGTTACTACCTAATACTTAGAATCATATAACAACGATGAATATGTAAGATCAACAAAAAGGGCAGCCATTTTTTCCATGTACTTTCAAAGCTACATACATCATTTGGCATAAATATCCTATTCATCGGAATCCTGTGTGGTTTGGAACTAAGTGTAACTTGCTAAATAGACTGGATCTTCAAAGACGCGAGCGATTTGCAAGAGGGGGTAAATAGGAAATGATTAAAGCTTATTTTCGGTTCCTTGCATTCCTGCAGTATGACAGCAACAAATATGAAAACATGCAGCCTGCAGGCACAAAGAGGAAGAGTTCAGAATGCATTCAAATCCATAGCGCATCTCTTTTGTGTTATCAAAGCTGAATAAACAGCTCTGATTGCCGCTTCAAAAGGACGAGAGAGAGAGGGAGAGAGAGAGTGTGAGAGAGAGGAGGAAAAGAGGTGAGGAGGAGGCTTAACCCATCGCTTGCTACTGGGTTTTACCCCCAAGCATAGAAAAAGACTCAGAGCATTGAAAAATTTCTAACATGTAGGGCGTTTTGAATCTTAAAAATACTGTCCATAGCACGATTAAATGTACAGTGTAATGGCTATGGCACATGTTACAGTAACTTACCACTGTTGGACATCTGAAAGAGGTTGTTCTTCTCAAACTTCTTGAACACACTTCCTTTGATCTCCACAAACTGTACATGTAGGAAATAGAGGAAAATATATTTTAGCGTCCTCTATATTTTAGATTACATGTTTGTGTGTGTATCTGAGTGTGTGTGTGTACTCACGTTGTTGGACATCATGATGGTGAGCAGGGACTTATTGTGGGAGTTGAAAGCAACGTTGAGCGTTGACGCCTGGACCATAATGAGGATAGCATGCAGGACTGAGATAGAGGCTCAGGAAAACACTGAACATGGTGGCAATAGCATCCGCTACAGTAAGGGGTGGGTGTATGAGTGAGTGTGTGTGGACTCACATTACTGACATATCATCAAAACAACAGCACTAACTGAAAAGTGACACCTGTAAGATGATAGAAGTTGAGAGATCACAAATTCCTACAGCAGAGTTCTTCCTGTGTGCACTTCCTAGTTCTCCATTAAGGATACAGACGTAGAACACAGCCATGAGGAAATGGGGGATGACCCCTATGCTGTCTCTCTTCCTCTCTTTGGGCTCTGTGGCCGTCCAGTAGAGCGCGTCAAGGATGTCTTGGCCAAACGAAGAGAACAGCCTGTCGGCTACCTGAACAGGGAAGGTAAGTAGTTCAAGTCAAGTTAAGCATGGGTTAATGATGTGACTTTCGACCTGTAAGTGATACAATGGGATTAGACTATGACAGATTACCAGTGCTTAATTGTATGTTACTTCTCTAGTCTTCTGTATGGTTTATATCAGCACACCCTTAGTGGAGTTGCCAACAACCGGATGCACCAGTTCAAGGATACAGCTAATTCAACCTATTTATTTTTAATTTTTTTCACCTTTATTTAACCAGGTAAGCCAGTTGAGAACAAGTTCTCATTTACAACTGCGACCTGGCCAAGATAAAGCAAAGCTAGCTACCTTTTCCGCTGAAAACAGGATGTGGGAACTCCAATCAGGTGTCTTTTTACACCAGCTGTGTTAGATTAATATCGGCCAAACAACTCATGAGTTTTCATAAACTATAACTATTTTTTTCTAATAATTTATCACCTGCTGCATTTCAGATGAAATAGGGTATCTGAGGCCCTAATCAGATACTTCAGCCAAGAATAATTCATTTTCCTTGACGTAGGCCTACTCACTGACCTAACACAACTGGACCAGTGAAAGCTATAGAGTGGAACCTTATTAAATCACATTACTACAACAGCTCTAAATCCAACCCACTGTACCTCCAGCATGTTGTAGATGATGTAGAGTTTAATGACGGACTGTCCCCGGATCAGGTGGTACATCATGCTGTAGTCCACGTAGTGCATCATGGAGTAGCACAGCACCATTATCAGTCCCTTCAAGATGTCACACACCTGGGCCGGCTGCAGCATGCGCGAGCCACTTGCAGAACACACAGGTTACACAGAGCCTAGTCATACATCTGTATGTACACATGTACACACGCATACACATCTAATTATATTTGTTTGCGTCTATTCAGTACAAGTAGGCCTAAGGCTTGTGATAACACTGTTGTGAGATATGACACAGTGAACCTTGGGATCATGGTTGACTGTAAGCTTCATGCACTATTAGGCCAATGTCAGGACAGGTGTCATGTGTGCTGTATCGAAGTGGTTTAATACCCCCCGGGGTTGTCAAGGCACCAGTAGAATGACTGTGTCTAGTTATTTTCAGCATCCGTTACTATTTTTGATTGGCTGATGTTTATAACAAGCAGCATTAACATTATAAATACACACTTTTGTTAATTCGGGTTGATCAGGGTAGGATGGGACATTGAACACATTCAACCGATGAGTAGATGGTTGGGGGGGAATGATGAGGAATGAAGTAGCTAACCAAATCTGTTACATGAACACATATTATTCATATAGCCTGCCTTTTAATGTATGCTACACCAATATTGAGTAGGCGAATCGAAAGTTAAATGGCACGCAGCATGAGAGCATGCTAGGGGAAGACTGACAAATCCATAGGGCTTCAGTCTCTGTTGGGGAGTAGAAGGTCAAGACATGTAGCTAGTTATGTGAAAGGCTACTAAATATACTGATCTACTGTACATCTAAGCTAGTATAACTACTGCATACTAGTACCTTAGTCCTTTGTATACCCACCACTCTTCTACATATTACTCAAACTAAGGCCAGATTTCAATCGATTGCAGATGGTGGATTTCTGGATAGCGCTTTCAAACATGTGCTTGATTTGTACAGCAGCCTGTCCCGAATGGATGGAGCTGACTATGCGATATTCAGGAATCCACTATCTGCAATAGATTGAATAACGGCATAAAACTCCACAAATGAGACTGTCCATCACCACCCTCACCTTAGTGAGCTTAAAGAAGTTGCCAAAAAAGCTTCCTAAAAGGGAGAGGAAAAATCACCTTTTAAGATTTCTCAATTCCTGCGGTAAGACGTAGAATAACCAGTCACAAGGGAAATGGAAGGGGAGGTGCAAAATATCTCAGTCTGTCTGTCGGGAGGGTGGCAGTGACGCCGGGGTGAGAGAGAGGAGCTTGAGTTCAGAAAGTGCAAATTAGAATGCTTAATCAGGTGTCTCATCTACTTCCCAAATTGTGTGCAGTGAGCATTGAGGTATGAAGGGAAGCAAACAACATCGGAGTCATAACCTTTATTATCATACAGGTTATAGCAAGATGAACGTAGGGTCATTGTTGATTGATATTGGGGGCCTGGAAGATTTGCTTTCACTTATTCAATCATTTAGAGGTCAGTGATAACCTCAAGGAGAGTAAGAAGGAAGCATATGCTATATCAGTATGAAAATGTATGCACTCACTAACTGTAAGTCGCTCTGGATAAGAGCATCTGCTAAATGACTAAAATGTAAATGTAAATATTATATACCAATTCATACCGGGGCATAAACAAGAAGAATTCACTGCTGGTGCTCTAGCACCCTTTACTGGCCGGACTCAGACACAGCACTTTGGCACATTCTAGTGGACCTTTGCAGAGGAGTGCCCAGTGAACGACCTATAACATGACACTGCTTAGGCTATTAAAGTAAAATGCATGATGAGAGAGTGTACTCTCTGTCCTGCCAGTGTATGTTAGTGAATGCCAGGCCCTGTGTAACCCTGTTCCCCTGGCACAGGCACCAGCAATCACCATGAATGTGATAGCCCCCTAGCTGACTAACTGCAGCTCTGGCCAACAGAGGTGTGTGTGTGTATATAAAAGGTCAGTCAAGCTTCGCTGCCATGCAGACAGACACAAAAGGGCATGCATCATCCAACGGATATCACAAAGGCCACAGCCATCAGCGCTGAGCTGTGCTTTGTGAGAGGAACAGTTTTTCAAGACAAGGTACTGGAATACGTGTTGTTAGCGGAGGTGTGGAGTTTTTGCCAAGCCTCTCTTGGGAGTGTGCCGACACAGTTGTTTCTCAGTTAAGACAACGTTTTAACTATTGAAATTACAATACATTATCTTTGGCCTACTACGACTTCCAAAAAATGACAGGGTAATGTCAAAACACTAAAAAAAACGACACTCAAAGATATAGGAGTGGACTTGGCAAATAACCTATGCAATTCATACTCATCTTCTGTATGGAGTGGATAAGGTACATTTGTACAAATATTTTCAAGCTAAGGAGTTCAAAACAGCACATCCTGAACTCTGGAGTGTCATTTGAGCTGTAGTCAAACATGATATCACTTATCAGTTAAAAATGTTAATGTTTACCTAGAAAATACTTCAATAAAGCTAGTAGTCAGTCACAGTGCCTGATTATGGCTTCTGTGTTCGTGTGGGGATGGAGGGAGTGAGGATGCTGTAACTCGAGGCGTAGAGAGCTCAAGCCATCTGTCAATGCAATGTATTTTACTGAGCATCTGCAGTGCACAGCTATCGCCCATCCGTTACCACAGCCAGCTGCAGGCCTACATTCAAAAATCAGCTACTGCTTTCCCTTCAGTTAGGCCTACATACTCTAACATTATGCATACCGTACATACTCTGGAGAGAGATCGTTCAGACAGGAGTCCTCAACCCAACAAGGAGAACTGCACATTGTTGGTGTGTTGTAATTTGATGTTGAGCATTTCAACAAGACTGGAGCTTTGGTATACCATGGAAAATCAGTTTGATGGGCCAGTCTTGAAGAAACCATGTCCACTATGTATATGAGCTCTTGCAGGGAAAGCGTACAGTTTAGTATTCGTGTTGCCGTGGTGAGCACAGCCCTGTTTGTGAACACTACTAATCCAAAATGGCCCCTCAGTGGCTTTAGCATAGAGCATGAAGAATACAGCACAAAGCTGCATATCAGGACAAACAAGATGGAGATGGTGAAACGATATATAATATAAAATATAAATGATGAAGCTGTGACAGGCGAGAGACTAGCATACCTGCTCCGATTGCAGTAGGGGCATACGTTTGCCCTGCAGGGAAAGAAGGTAAGGGAAGAGACTGACCTTTGTACAGACCAGTCACAGGCAAACTGAGTGAGTACAATACTTACTGTACAGTATACATAAACCTAGCTTACGTATGCATCTGTCTTCTGAAGGGCCAAATCCTAACTATAGATACACTACATGCAAATCTCATTGATATCAGGGTGTGATTTACGTGACACACTCAAAGTTGGGATTATGCCCCAAGTGCCCTTTGGAGTGCAATTCACTTGGGGAACTAGGCCTATTTTCTGTTGAGCTAAACCCATCTATATTGCCCTATACATATTTCCCCATTTACCACTCCTGTAGTAAACCTAAATTCCAAGAACATAATGCAAAGAATCATCCATGTCATAGATAGATATGGTACTGGTCATGTAACATGGTTATTTCCAATCGAATCATGCAGTGTTTCTTTGTCAGTGTCAGAGCTGCGTTCAGTAGGGCACAACTTTGTGGAACGTTCAGATAGAAATACATTTGGTAGAACAGACATGCATTTCAAATCTATCCACGGCATTTCTATCTGCAACGTTCAGTACGTAGCACCCAGTGAAACGTGACCCAGAGTGTGAGCGTGTGTGTGTGTGTGTGGGCTCACCCGAGGCCGCAGCAGGGCAAGGTGAGGAGGTGTAGCAGGGCCAGCAGCATCCGGAGGGGCAGCAGCGTGAACACGTAGAGGAAGGCATCCAGACACAGGAAGAAGCCAAAGATCATCAGCTGTATGGTAGAACACAACACACTCGGGTAAAACATGGCTGCTCGATCACACCTACAAATAGAGCCAGTGTGTGTGTGTGACTATGTAGGCTATGTGTGAGTTTACAGAGTGTCAGTGTTTGTCCAGCTCTCTTTCTCTACAGAATGGCATGTTGTTGTTTTGACAGGGCAAGCCATATACTACACTGAACAAAAATACAAACGCAACATGCAACGATTTCAAAGATTTGACTGAGTTACAGTTCATATAAAGGAAATCAGTCAATTGAAATAATTTAATTAGGCCCTAATCTATGGATTTCACATGACTGGGAATACAGATATGCATCTGTTGGTCACAGATACCTTAAAAAAAGGTATGGGCGTGGATCAGAAAACCAGTCAGTATCTGGTGTGACCACCATTTGCCTCATGCAGCGTGACACATCTCCTTCGCATAAAGTTGATCAGGCTGTTGATTGTGGCCTGTGAATGTTGTCCCACTCTTCTTCAATGGCTGAGCGAAGTTGCTGGATATTGGCGGGAACTGGAACAAGCTGTCGTACATGTCGATCCAGAGCATCCCAAACATGCTCAACGGGTGACATGTCTGGTGAGTATGCAGGCCATGGAAGAACAGGGACATTTTCAGCTTCCAGTAATTGTGTACAGATCCTTGCGACATGGGGCTGTGCAATATCATGCTGAAACATGAGGTGATGATGGCAGATGAATGGCACGACAATGGGCCTCAGGATCTCGTCACGGTATCTGTGTGCATTGAAATTGACATAGATAAAATGCAATTGTGTTTGTTGTCCGTAGCTTATGCCTGCCCATACCATAATCCCACCGCCACCATGGGGCACTCTGTTCACAGCGTTGACAACAACAAACCGCTTGCCCACACAACGCCATACACGCTGTCTGTCATCTGCCCGGTGCAGTTGAAACCGGGATTCATCTGTGAAGAGCACACTTCTCCAGCGTGCCAGTGGACATCGAAGGGGAGCATTTTGCCCACTGAAGTCGGTTACGACGCCGAACTGCAGTCAGGTCCAGACCCTGGTGAGGACGACGAGCACGCAGATGAGCTTCCCTGAGACTTTCTGACAGTTTGTGCAGACATTCTTTGGTTGTGCAAATCCACAGTTTCATCAGCTGTCCGGGTGGCTGGTCTCAAGACAATCCCGCAGGTGAAGAAGCCAGATGTGGAGGTCCTGGCCTGGCGTTGTTACACGTGGTCTGTGGTTGTGAGGCCGGTTGGACGTACTGCCAAATTCCTTAAAACGACGTTGGAGGGACTTATGGTAGAGAAATTAACTTTCAATTCTCTGGCAACAGCTCTGGTGGACATTCCTGAAGTCAGCATGCCAATTGCATGCTACGTCAAAACTTGAGACATCGGTGGCATTGTGTTGTGTTACAAAACTGCACATTTTAGAGTGGCCTTTAATTGTCCCCAGCACAAGGTGCACCTGTGTAATGATCATGCTGCTTAATCAGCTTTCTGACATGCCACACCTGTCAGGTGAATGGATAATCTTGGCAAAGGAGAATAATAATAATAATAATAATATTAATATGCCATTTAGCAGACGCTTTTATCCAATGCGACTTACAGTCATGCGTGCATACATTTTTGTGTATGGGTGGTCCCGGGGATCGAACCCACTACCTTGACGTTACAAGCGCCGTGCTCTACCAGCTGTGCTACAGAGGACCACAACAGGAATGCTCACTACAGGGATGTAAACAAATTTGAGCGAAATAACCTTTTTGTGCATATGCAAAAATGTCTTAGATCTTTTATATGAGCTCATGAAAAATGGGACCAACACTTTACATGTTGCGTTTATATTTTTGTTCAGTGTAGATTTCGCAATAACATGTTCATGTTTACTGATAAGAACAGGGTTGGGCAACTTTGTGCGCAAAGTCAACTAACTGCTATAAATACTATGGTATGCACACAAACGCACACACAGGTTAAACATGGCCACTCACGTGTGTGTCTACAGTAAGCGTGGCATGTTTAACACCCTGTTATTGGTAATGGTGAGAGGTTAGCATGTCTTGGGGGTATGATCTTTGACCTTCTGTTACTTTCTCACTCATCATTATTCACGATTCATTCAGGATTATATATCATAATGGTACTGTAGCATCCATATTAATGTATACGTGTTTAGAAACAGATTCTATTCTTATTTACAATAAGATTTACTCAAAAATGACACAATACATTATTTACCCTTCATTTCTATTCGGCACAAAATCATCTGAAACACAACTAAAACGAACTGCAAATGCATCCAACAAGTTTGTAGAGTCACAAGCTTGATGTAGTCATTGCGTGCTAGGAATATGGGACTAAATACTAAAAACTTGACTACTTTATTTATACGAGTCTTTTAGAGATTATTTTGTATTCCTTGTTAAACAAAATCTCTTTCTCTGAGCAATTGTATTAGTATAAAATAATCAGTGGTGGAAAAAGTACCCAATTGTCATACTTGAGTAAAAGTAAAGATAACTTAAAAGAAAATGACTCAAGTAAAAGTCACCCAGTAAAATACTACTTGAGTAAAAGTCTAAAAGTATTTGGTTTTAAATATACTTAAGTATCAAAAGTAAAAGTATAAATCATTTCAAATTACTCATATTAAGCAACGCAGACGGCACGATTTTCTTGTTTTGTAAATGTACGGACAGCCAGGGTCACACTTCAACAGTCAGACATAATTTACAAACGAAGCATTTGTGTTTAGTGAGTCTGCCAGATCAGAGGCAGTAGGGATGACCAGGGATGTTCTCTTGATAAGTGTGTGAATTAGACAATGTTCCTGTCCTGCTAAGCATTCAAAATGTAACGAGTACTTTTGGGTGTCAGGGAAAATGTAAGGAGTAAAAAGTACATTATTTTCTTTAGGAATGTAGTGGAGTAAAAGTAAAAGTTGTCAAAAATATAAATAGTAAAGTAAAGTACAGATACCCAAAAACACTACTTAAGTAGTACGTTAAAGTATTTTTACTTAAGTACTTTACATCACTGAAAATAATATAATTTCCCCATTGTTTTTGCTCAGTATTTGAATTAAATATTTTATGCAGTCAATATTGCTCATCTTTATCAAGGCCAAGGGTGTCAATAATTTCAGACCCCATTGTACCTTCTCAAATAACAAATACCATATAATCTCATGATGTGCCAGCTCCAGTGTGTCCTGTGTTAGCCTCACAAACATCAGCAGTAAGGTTGTTACAATACTTCCCAACAGGAAGTGAGTAGTGGCAGTTGGGTTGGCTAACAGAGTCACAAGTCATCCTTTCATTGGTCTGTCCCTGGCTGCTCTCTTTTTTACTTCAGGTAGTAGCCTAGTCCAGGCAGAGCTTCTAGACCTAGAAGGTCACAATGCTCCATCTGTTCACACACATTCCTCAGTTCCCCAAGGCTTGGAATGCTATGGCTAACCAATGAGGGTTGGAGTGGGGACGTATATTAGGCTAGGTGATGACTGAATTTCACTGATGTTCACTGTCTCAATGTGAATGTCTGAGGGAGCACTCTTGCCCAAGGGCAAAATTCAAACGAAAAATAGCAAATTATGTGATGTTTGAGGTCCATTTGATATCCATATTAACAGTAGTCCCAGAATAAATAATAATAATATGCCATTTAGCAGACGCTTTTATCCAAAGCGACTTACAGTCATGTGTGCATAAATTTTTACGTATGGGTGGTCCCGGGGATCGAACCCACTACCCTGGCGTTACAAGCGCCGTGCTCTACCAATTGAGCTACAGAGGACGGCAATAGAATAGTACCTCAAGGCACATACAAGTGTCGTCTCAATGTTTGAGGAGACTGAGATAGAGGCAGCCTGACTCACCTACTTCTGGGATCAGCCTCTAGTGCAGAGGTTAATTATTCCCAGATGAGTTTGCAGAGGTGAATTTAGGGGAATATTTGTATACATTCTCAATGGAATGTGTTACAACACCACCATCTAGTGGTTGTATAGAGACAAAGCATCAGCAGTATTATGGCTATGACAGCATACAGAAAAACATTGTGTTGCAATAGGCAATACACCATACAAATGATGCAGCAAGGAGCCTTGTAGTTTTTTGCATTTTGTAGGCTTTTTGAATGGTCTTCAATGGACAACACTATAGCGTAATGGTCTTCAGCGCAAAAACTTCATGAAAGGCATCTGGCAGAAGTGAATTCATCCACAAACAAAAATGAAAATTTTCAAATATCTTATTTGAACACGTTTTCTTGAACTTTATGATATAATCATCAAGCCCATTCAAAAGACCAGGGACATAAACACGGACGTATATCAATACAAATGACCCATTCGTGTCACCTGTATAACAAATGCTATGTGAACAAAAATATAATAAGAATACCTTCATTTCACTGCTCTTAGAAAAACCAGATGTACCAGGACATTATCAACGGCATAGCTAAACAAACACTGCAAACTGACCTTTGTGTGTGTGCGGTTATCTCTCTGTGTGTGTGTGTGTGTGTGTGTGTGTGTGTGTGTGTATAGGCGCCTGAGCAACGGAGAAAATGGAAGCAGCTGCACCCCCACCTTCAAAATAGGGAAGTTTACATACATTCAATTAGCATTTGGTAGCATTGCCTTTAAATTGTTTAACTTGGGTCAAACGTTTCGGGTAGCCTTTCATAAGCTTACCACAGAGCTGGTGTAACTGAGTCAGGTTTGTAGGCCTCCTTGCACACAAAATGTGGAAAAATGCAAGGGGTCTGAATACTTTCCGAATGCACTATAGATCCAGGTTGGCTAGACTTAAAATACAAAGATTAGCTGGCTACTCACTTGTGCTTGAGAGATTGTTTATGAGACGTGTTCAATTTCTATAATGCCTGCTACAAGAAATGGGTCATTATTAGAGGACGTGCATTGTGCATGGTTCTGGTTAAATTTGCTCTTTGCAATGGAGATTTCGTGCCAACCTAACACTTCTTGGTCAAAAGCACTCAATGACTTTGGCATTTGAACTTTTATGTTTATTGTGGTATAGCTTGATATATGCAGAATTCAATATAATTCCAATGCAAGAACCCAAATGATGCCCCTGGGTATAGCTGCATATCGGTATGTTTCATTATAGAAATAGATAGCCTACATTCTATTTCTATGGTTTTCTGGTAGCCTATTGCTTTTTATGGTTGTAAGTGGAACTGTACGCATTGGAAACGTGTTTATGGTAGGCCAGCATTGCTTAATTGATTACGTAGGTGGGTCGAATTTGATCCACAGAAGTGTATTGTGACATATCGCAACGTGTTGCTGAACTCATGAGCGCCATGATTTGTCTATGTTTGATGCGGGCCTATAGGCCTATTTATTTGGCAAGACAGCTGTGCATGGCTTCATCTCACTGTAGTAGGCTGTTTCTTTTGGTTATTTACATTCGCCTTTTGTTTACTGCGTTTGTTTACTGTTAAAGTAACTAGCCTAAATATAGATTGTGTCATGCCTTTATCGATCTGATATGGTTTTTCTAGGCCTATAGTAGGCCTACAGCTGTTTTGTTCTGTTCGCATTCATTCGTTCGCATTCGCAGTTGTCGGTATTCTAAGCCAAACTGCAATTCAGTCATTTTGTTTTGCATGAATAACTAGGCAACTACTTTCTGCATTCAGTTTGCATCATTTTGTTAAGACAGCTGTGTGTACAACAGCTGCATTCACACAGGCTGTTTGTAATAGGTGAATTACCCTATAAACCTTGCAGCCTATATTCATTGCCAAATAGGCCTTGCTTTCGTGTGTAGGGCGCTGTCTATTGTGCTGATACAGCGCACCGGAGATAGGCTACAGATTTCAGACCCTACCTACCACTTCGAAAGCACTCAATGGTCTCGGATTCTCTGCATTTTAACTTGATGTTTATTGCGGTATTGCGTGATATAAGCAGAATTCAATATAATTCCAATGCAAGATCCCCCCAAAATTGTGCCCCCCTCACCGATTTCAACTGCCCCTTTAGTCACTGTATCCTGGCGCCAGGTCTGTCTGCTTGGCTTGGTAAGTAATATTGACCAAATAAGTAATTTCTACCCTCTTTGCATCAAATATGTATGCTGCTGAGACAAGTTAATTTTAAACATTCAGCGCTTCAAACAACGGTGCCAAAAAAAGTCAAGGGGGCCTCTACTGTACCTACCTTTTCCAGTTCTCTGGGAATGCGCATGCATGTGTACACTCTCTCTCTGCGCTCGGTGTATTTAGCTTCGTTGTGCTCCAGGAAGTAGCCCCGGGTCAGCTCAGCACACATGAAGCGCCCCAGCGACGGATCTGGAATAACATTATGACAACACTTAGTGCTCTGTTACAACAGGGCTATTGTCCCTCCAGTTTGCATTATTTTGGTAAGACAGCTGTATGTACTCATGGTTATCAACATAATGGCAAAAATACGTATGTGTGCTAAGTGTGGGAAGCTCGGACACAGAAAACAAAATGGCATGAGTGAAAATGAGAGGGAAAGGAAGTTTCACTTTTGAAGAGGAAAGATAATGAACTTGACACACCAATCGGTCTAAAAAAGAAGCATAATGTAACCAAATCAGTATTCATATAGGAACCAAGCCAACAGAATTACAATGCCACTTTGCCACTAATGATTATCTAATAAACTTGCTAAGACTTTTGGTATGAGGAAAACTTTGAGCTACAGTGGCAGTATAATTAATTGCCATTCGACTTATGAAGTAAAGTACACTACCTAATGGTATGCTGTACTTTTAAATACATAACAGCATAATTTACATTGATTCTGAGGACTTTACCCGAAATTAACCTACACGGTCTTGAAATATTTTCCATCGGTTGGAAATTGTGAGAACCTGTCAAACATTATATATTGAACAACATTTGGATTTCCAACCGAAATAACTGTATATTTTGACTGATAGACAGTCGATGTTGACCTGATTTCACTACTTCTTGCAACAACTCGGCGCGCTAGTTACAGTACTGTATGGATGCAAATAGTTAGAGCAGAAGGCAGCAAGCTAGACTTTTCATCTTTGACACAAATTGGCATGACAGGTAACGTTAGCATTAACATTAAACCGTGCTAAGCAAATAGCGTAGCTAACTAATGCTAGTATGTAGTTCACTATATTGTCATTGATCGCAACATCAGTGACTGTTGCCCCCTCCACCTAGGCTTGACATCTCGTGCCTTGGCTAGGCGCAGTTCGTGACATCACGTGAAAGCGAATTACCAGGAATTAAAACGTCGAAGTAATTAGTAGACACATGTTAAATATTTTTAATGATCAGTTAGTATATATATTTTATCACATGCTACTAATACAAAGCTGAGAAAGATTTGTTTTTACAAACAATCTCGCATGACAACAACACGGGTTAAAACTGACAGCTCGAAATCCAATGACGTGCTTTGGTTGGTTGTGCATTGAGTCCGGGCAGCCCAATGACTGTGAGCCAGCCAGCCCAAAGATAGCTAAATAACAGAAAATTGTTGAGCCACTATGACATGTATTTTACAATGGTTTTCATGCGATCGTCAGCTTCCAAGGCATTATTTCTAGACATAGAGAGGTCGGTTTATCCAATAAAATGGTCGCTAGCCGATACCGTTTAAACCTGCGCGCGAACCAGGGAAACCCACCTGAGTTATCACGTTCACGTTGCTCCCGTCTGACAGCATTTATATCGTAAAAGCCTAATGTTTCCGCCAGATCTGGAGTTTGGCCGATTTTCCCCGACCTTGGTATGTCATCCCATGGCCGTTTCTCCTTCTTCTTGTCCTTATTTTCGGTTTCTTTTTCATCTGACAGCCCGGTCCCCAACAAGTCCGCCATCTTCAATTTGCAGCCGTGCTGATAGCAAAGTTCATGGACCAACCATAGAGATAGATAGAGGACTCATGTTTTATGTGCCATTATAGCGTCTGTGACAGCATGGGCAGCGCCATTGAGGCTACAACCCATATTAATCCCCACCAAATCGGCGAGTTGACTACTTTAAAATGGCGAAAGCATGGTGGAAACCCTCAATAGCGTTGCCCATGCAAAAATAGCCTTTTGGCCACTAGAGGCCTCTATCATTCTCCATGGGACCAACGCAACTGTCTTCACATTCTCGCCGAGGGGTTGATGCTTAAAATAAACAAACATACACTACATGACCAAAAGTATGTGGACACCTGCTCGTCGAAAATCTCATTCCAAAATCATGGGCATTAATATGGAGTTAGTCCCCCTTTGCTGCTATAACAGCCTCCACACTTCTGGGAAGGCTTTCCACTAGATGTTGGAACATTGATGCAGGGACTTGCTTCCATTCAGCCACAAGATCATTAGTGAGGTCGGGCACTGATGTTGGGCGATTAGGCCTGGCTCGCAGTCGGCGTTCCAATTCATCCCAAAGGTGTTCGATGGGGTTGAGGTCAGGGCTCTATGCAGGTCAGTCAAGTTCTTCCACACCGATCTCGACAAACCATTTCTGTATGGACCTCACTTTGTGCACGGGGGAATTGTCATGCTGAAACAGGAAAGGGCCTTCCCCAAACTGTTGCCACAACGTTTGAAGCACAGAATCGTCTAGAATGTCATTGTACGCTGTAGCGTTAAGATTTCCCTTCTCTGGAACTAAGGGGCCTAGCCCGAACCATGAATAACAGCCCCAGACCATTATTCCTCCTCCACCAAACTTTCCAGTTGGCACTATGCATTCAGGCAGGTAGCGTTCTCCTGGCATCCGACAAACCAAGATTCGTCCTGCCAGATGGTGTGCGTGAGTCATCACTCCAGAGAACATTTTTCCACTGCTCCAGAGTCCAATGGCGGTGAGTTTTACACCACTCCAGCTGTCGCTTGGCATTGCGCGTGGTGATCTTAGGCTTGTGAGCGGCTGCTCGGCCATGGAAACCCATTTCATGAAGCTCCCGACGAATGTTGCTTCCAGAGGCATTTTGGAAGTCAGTAGTGAGTGTTGCAACTGAGGACAGACGATTTTTACACGCTACGCACTATAGCACTTTGCGGTCCCGTTCTGTGAGCTTCTGTGGCCTACCACTTCGCAGCTGAGCCGTTGTTGCTCCTAGACATTTCCACTTCACAATAACAGCACTTACAGTTGCCCGGGGCAACTCTAGCAGGGCAGAAATTTCACAAACTGACTTGTTGGAAAGGTGGCATCATATGACGGTGCCACGTTGAAAGTCACTGAGCTCTTCAATAAGGGCATTCTACTGCCAATGTTTCTCTATGGAGATTGCATGGCTGTGTGCTCTATTTGATACACTTCTCATCAACTGGTGTGGCTGAAATAGCCAAATCCACTTATTTGAAGGGTGTATCAATATTGATCAAACAAACATTATCCACACCGATTGTTGACACAACAATCCACCACAGATATATGTACACAAGATATGTGATCTGTAATATTGTATTTCATCTGACATCAATTAAATGTCTTACCTTATCCAAAAGACTTATCACATAATCATAGACCTTTGCAAAGAAATAAGGTGATAATTTCAATCAAATGTCAATTAATTTCAACCCAATATTCAATCAATGTGAATAATACATAAAATATTTGGATGTCGTTAATCTAATTGGATAATTCAATACTACAAGATGAGGACAAAGATCCATCCAAATATTTCACACTTGATATCCTGCTGCTGCTTCCCTGCCTTTAGTTGACTGATGCCTGAATGATTCATTGCTGTCTACATTTCATATTACATTTCAGTCATTTAGCAGACGCTCTTATCCAGAGCGACTTACAGTTAGTGAATGCTTATGTTTTTTTGTGTTTTTTTTCATACTGGCCCCCCGTGGGAAACGAACCCACATCCCTGCCGGCCAAACCCTCCCCTACCTTGGACGACGCTGGACCAACTGTGCGCCGCCCATGGGTCTCCCGGTTGCGGCCGGCTGCGACAGAGCCTTTGAAAATCCTGTTCAAAGAGAAACAATTGGATCTATTCATCTTAAACGCGCAGTTGGTTTATTGATGAACCAGTTGACCCCCTGACCCTAAATAACGCATCATATTGATCAAGAATAAGAAGTGGTGGCTGACATTAGCCAATTTGTCATATTGGAAATACATTGGCACATTAGCACACAGCACAGTTATGCTGTAGTAACAGCATTTCAAATTGGCTACCTATTGATAGACAAGAGGACAGACAGACTAGAATAACGGTATAGGAAAAGAGATTGAGAAACAGACATGCAAGGGCAGTTAATGCACAGTAATCCATACACAATGTCTGCAATAACCCAATCAGACCAATCTGTAAGTACAGTTTATTGGCACACATAATGGCAAAGCATACAGTAGGCTTGCGAAAGTATTCACCCCCCTTGGCATTTTTCCTATTTTGTTGCCTTACAACCTGGAATTGATTTTTTGCGGGTTTGTATCCTTTGATTTACACAACATGCCTACCACTTTGAAGATGCAAAATATTTTTTTGGGTGAAACAAACAATAAATAAGACAAAAAAACAGAAAACTGTAGGGTGCATAACTATTCACCCCCCCCCCCCCAAAGTCAATACTTTGTAGAGCCACCTTTTGCAGCAATTTCAGCTGCAAATCTCTTGGGGTATGTCTCTATAAGCTTGGCACATCTAGCCACTGGGATTTTTGCCCATTCTTCAAGGCAAAACTGCTCCAGCTCCTTCAAGTTGGATGGGTTCCGCTGGTGTACAGCAATCTTTAAGTCATACCACAGATTCTCAATTGGATTGAGGTCTGGGCTTTGACTAGGCCATTCCAAGACATTTAAATGTTTCCCCTTAAACCACTCAAGTGTTGCTTTAGCAGTATGCTTAGGGTCATTGTCCTGCTGGAAGGTGAACCTTCGTCCCAGTCTCAAATCTCTGGAAGACTGAAACAGGTTTCCCTCAAGAATTTCCCTGTATTTAGCGCCATCCATCATTCCTTCAATTCTGACCAGTTTCCCAGTTCCTGCAGATGAAAAACATCCCCACAGCATGATGCTGCCACCACCATGCTTCACTGTGGGGATGGTGTTCTCGGGGTGATGAGAGGTGTTGGGTTTGCGCCAGACATAGCGTTGTCCTTGATGGCCAAAAAGCTCAATTTTAGTCTCATCTGACCAGAGTACCTTCTTCCATATGTTTGGGGAGTCTCCCACAACACCAAATGTGTTTGCTTATTTTTTTCTTTAAGCAATAGCTTTTTTCTGGCCACTCTTCCGTAAAGCCCAGCTCTGTGGAGTGTATGGCTTAAAGTGGTCCTATGGACAGATACTCCAATCTCCGCTGTGGAGCTTTGCAGCTCCTTCAGGGTTATCATTGGTCTCTTTGTTGCCTCTCTGATTACTGCCCTCCTTGCCTGGTCCGTGAGTTTTGGTGGGCGGCCCTCTCTTGGCAGGTTTGTTGTGGTGCCATATTCTTTCCATTTTTTTATAATGGATTTAATGGTGCTCTGTGGGATATTCAAAGTTTCAGATATTTTTTTTATAACCCAACCCTGATCTGTACTTCTCCACAACTTTGTCCCTGACCTGTTTGGAGAGCTCCTTGATCTTCATGGTGCCGCTTGCATAGTGGTGCCCCTTGCTTAGTGGTGTTGCAGACACTGGGGCCTTTCAGAACAGGTGCATATATATACTGAGATCATGTGACAGATCATGTGACACTTAGATTGCACACAGGTGGACTTTATTTAACTAATTATGTGACTTCTGAAGGTAATTGGTTGCACCAGATCTAATTTAGAGGCTTCATAGCAAAGGGGGTGAATACATATGCACACACCACTTTTCAGTTATTTATTTTTTAGAATCTTTTGAAACAAGTTATTTTTTTCATTTCACTTCACCAATTTTGACTATTTTGTGTATGCCCATTACATGAAATCCAAATAAAAATCCATTTAAATTACAGGTTGTAATGCAACAAAATAGGAAAAACGCCAAGGGGGATGAATACTTTTGCAAGGCACTGTACATACCAGACATCAGATATGACACAAAACATCTCTGCGATATAATGTACAAATTGTGCAGAGTTCTAATAATACCAGGTTCAAACATATTCAGAAATGTGTTGCTTCCTTACAAATGCACAAATAAATACACAAAAGATCCAATCTTATAATAAAGACATCCACAGTTGTCTTCTTGCCATTTTGAAACAAAATCCAACATGAGGAGAGGAATTCAAGGAAGAATAGTCAACTAAAGAACAACTGGTAACACAAAAACAGGGTTTTTTAAACTGCAATTCTGTAGGGCCTTGAGTATGCTGTGTTTCTGGATTTGCGGCTAATAATGTATGTATTTTTTAATATCCCTACAATGAGTCAATTTTCAAATGTTCAAATGTTCAACATTTTAAACATTTCTAAAACATTATAGTTTAATATCTGATGTGTGCACTAATTCATTGACTGGATATAAACATGTCAAAATGATAAATGAGCGTCTTATAGCAGCAAAAATCTGTCGGACAGACAACAGAATCCGAAAGGCCCTATAGAAATGTGAAACTCCTCCAAATAAAAAAGCTTGTGCGAAACAGCTGCCATGTACAAAATGATTTCAAAATGGTGGCTAATCTTAAATGAATAAAGTTGTATGTCACACCTCTATTTGCAGAGCTACAAACCTTGTAACAGTGTTCCCAAACTGATGAACCCCCCCAAAAATGTCTGACCAACTCAAAAAGGTACATATATCAAACAACAAAAGTTAAATCATGCAAAGTTTTAAAGACCCAGTGCAGTCAAAAACGTGATGTTCCTGTTTTTTATATATATTTTCACACTATGAGGTTGGAATAATACTGTGAAATTGAGAAAATTATGATAATGCGCTTTTAGTGTAAAAGCTGTTAGAAAAAATTATTGCTTGAGGAATTGCTCTTTGCTAAGAAGCTATTTTTGTTTCTTTTTGACCATTTTAATTGAAACAATCACAGTAAGGTACTTAATTGTTACCCAGAAATGATTTGATATTGAGATAAAAACGACTGCATTGAACCTTTAATATCAGTTTGGAATAGGTCAGTCATTAAAGGGAAAGAACAAAGACAAATCCAAAATAAGAAAAAAAAACATTAATGCATTGGTGTATGTCAGCAAAGTTCACATACTGATTGGCAACGTACAAATCTGATTGGAAAGTATTTTGGGGAGAAGCAAAAGAACACCAATAGACTACAAACACAATCGAACAGGTTTGCATGAAATAACAATCTGCGACGACTGCTGTAATTCTGGAAAGGAAATCCTGGAACACGAGTGTCTCACTTGAAGCTGTCCATAGTGGTGAAACAGAGTCACTTTCCTTTTAATTGGAAATTGGAAAAAACAAAAACAACAACAATGTAAATAAACCAACAGCCAAATTATTTTCCAATAAAAATGCAAATGCTCAAGACGACGACGTCTCGTGTAGTTTGGTGGCTGAGTAAAACCTTGCCGGTTCGTTCTCATTGAGGCTGATGCTCTTAAAAGAGACATTTTGTTTTTGATGTTTTGTTTTGACTTCCACTGTCAACTGTCCCAGAGGGGTCGTAACCTGCAGCTCAAAGGTCAAAAGGGCAACAACCACATAATTCCCACTACAGTTAAAGCTCAAGGAATGAGAAGGTGTCCATGAAGTAGAATTCAGATGAAGACACTGGCCTTGTGTCATTCCCAGAGCAATTACAACTTCCCTAACACTGGGAATTCCCACCAAATCCAAACAGAGGAATTCTAGGAAAAATTGAAAAAATAAAACCCAGTATTGTTTAATGTCATCATTGCAATGCATACAACCTGTATGCATTTAGATGGAAAAGTAGTCTTTATCGTATGGATATTGCTGTGCAATGTCAGTCAGTTCTCTGTCTCAGTCTCTCTCCAGGATGTTACAGTGAAGTTGGAGAAGAATTGTTCTGGTATTTGGTGGAGATGATTGACCATGATGAGTGATAGTGACACCATTGACCATGATGTGGAAACATTTGCCAACAGGGTTAAATTCAGTACAATTTGAGGTTTTAGAGGGCTCTGCCCTAGTGGGCCAAATATGTACAGTTTTTTAAATCTTCCCTCTGTGTTTTACTGTGAGGGCAACATGGTCTCATTAGATAATGTACAAAATAGTGACATTTAACCATTGGAGTTAAATGTCCCCTAAGTGTACATATGAGAGTTGGGGCACTGACTGTGCTCTTGGTATCCTTGGTCTCTGTGTGTTCTACTGTGACGACTGCGGCGCTGTGCTCTCGGCCTTGCTATCCTGGTTGTTGGGCGGCTTGCTGCCCCACGGGCTGTTATTGCCGAGGGCAGGCGAGCCGTTGAAGTCATCCTCGTCGTCCAATCCGTTGGTGGCATCATACTGCGTGTTCTCCAGACGCGTGATCAGACGCTCATCCTCGTCCCCGAACTCCCCGCCCATCAGGGTGGGCTCGCCCACCACCATCACGTCCTGAAAGACAAAGGAGAGAGATCAAAGGTCAGAGGTCAGACATTTTGAGGGACACATTGTTGCATGTGTGAGAAATGTATGGACTTCTGAGAGATTATATGTGATATATAGAATTTATTATATATTGATTATTCTATATTGGTCATATTCATTTTATGGTGTGATCTGCATGTTATACTAACTCTAAATCTTTGTCACAATTCATGACACAAAAATAAAGGAAACACCAACATAAAGTGTCTTAATGGGGCGTTGGGCCACAACGAGCCAGAACAGCTTAAATGCACCTTGGCATAGATTCTACAAGTGTCTGGAACTCTTATTGGGGGGATGCAACACCATTCTTCCACCAGAAATTCTATCATTTGGTGTTTTGTTGATGGTGCTGGAAAACGCTGTCTCAGGCGCCGCTCCAGAATCTCCCATAAGTGTTCAATTGGGTTGAGATCTGGTGACTCAGACGGCCATGGCATATGGTTTACATCATTTTCATGCTCATCAAACCATTTAGTGACCATTCGTTCCCTGTGGATGGGAACATTGTCATCCTATTGGGGCATAGCCACGGTAGCCAAAATAATGGCCTGCCCAGAGTTTTTATACATGACCTTAATGGGATGTAAGTCGCTTAAAGGTGCACTATGCAGAAATCGCGCCGCCATTTCCTGTTTGGTAAAATTCTAATAGATTGCCGAATTTTTGTTTTATGTGACAAAACAAGCAAGTATAGTGTAGAGAGAATCATTGTACCATCTAAACCGCTGTGAAATGTCTTGTCCATAACCACATTTCTTGTATTTTCAGCTGTTTGAATTTGGTGTACAAAACCGAAAGTAAAAGACGAACAAAACTTAAGAACGGGAAGCATAGAAATAGTGCACATAGAAGAGATCTACCGCTTCCTAGACATGCTTTCAATGAGAATGACAGACCTATAACTGGTCAGGTTGCTCACAAAAGTTACATATTGCAGCTTTAAGGCTGTCTGTGTTCCTGCTTGTTGCTGAATAATGATGATTAGTGTCTCTATGGATGATATTCCACCCAAAGCAATTAAGGATCAAAAGGGCCCAAAAGTGGACAAAAGCAAAAACACTAGAGGACATTGAGGCTCATCAAGACCAGTAGCCTACACAAGTAGCCTACCCCTGAGCTTCTATTCTAACCCAGAATGGAGATGTGGGTTCAGATCTTACTTTTGACACCATATGTTGGTAAGGCAATGAGACACCATTCTATTATAGCTACAAGAACATCTTTACTAAGGCTGGGATTCAATTCATAGCACAGCATGCTAGACAGCCGACAATACAGATTTTAAAGGCATTTTCCCCGACGTTCGCAGAGATCGCATTCACGCTCAAATGGAAATTACCTTTAAATGTCAAGTGCTATAACACAGATCTAACGCTGATCGGATTGAATCCCAACCTAGGATAAAACCTGTATAGAGCATTATACTACAACCCATAAGCTGCCCACGCTTTCACGGTCTTCTGTGGCAAGTGAGTCCTCTATCCATCTCTATGACAACTACTCATGAGCTTCTAACCTGTCGAACCCATAAGCTGGTGTGCTTCAACTGCTGATGATGTGTGTTTGTTGCTTCACCAAAGGGGTAAAGCCCGGAGCATTACCCTTGGCCGTGTGTTTACCTTGTTTCCACCCAACCCCCTGCCGCTCCTGTAATAACAGTTGGTGCGTGGGGGGAATTTTCAGGAGTGGGTGTATGGTGAAGCCGGTGATACCGCATGTACACGGTCGACCCCTCTCGGAGCACTCTGTGCAAATGAAATCCTCCCCCCCACTGACGAAGTGGACTATCTTCCCCTTCCTGACCCTCGCAGACCCATCAATAGTAATCATGTAGGACATATTTCAAAGAGATGACCCCTGTGTTGAGGTCAGAGATGAAAACATAGGGAGTTGTATTCTTTGGTTGATTCTTTATTTGCAATGTGAAGGAATTGGGTGATGCAACTCTCTATTTTGATATGTACAGGTCTAAAAATAAGTAACAGTATTTAGGAGATGCGATTCAGTAATTCAAGCAATGTTAGATGATTGATTACCAGTAGTTATAAATATGTGATCAAATGGACAATGTTAGGATGGTGTTGGTTGTTCTATGCAGGCTGAGTTGTATATCTCATCTCCCCTGGTCTGCTAAAGCCTCTCTCTCCTCAGCAGCCCACAACCTCCCACTGCATCTAGGGAGGCAGCCGCACAGTTAAATGGAGCACATGCTTCACTTCCCATGTGTGTCGACGCGACGTTGCATGAGAGCTCTCACTCCCCTCCTCCCCTCCTCTGATGCGCATGCACAACACATACACACACACAACTGCCCCAAAGAGGCTCCGGGTGGGGGGGGGGGGTGGGGGGGGGGGGGGGGGGGGGGGGGGTGTAGTTTGTTTATCCGAGATGCAACACAAGCCTCTTTTCAAAAACTTCTCTCAAACCCCACTAGCGACCGCCAAAACGCCTTAATTGCGCTAATTAATTTAGGTGAGCTTTTTGATTAAATGACGATATCCACACAGATTTTTTTCATTTGTATAGTTAATTGAGTCATTAGCTCAAAACATTGTGATTGCCAACAAGCCTTGAATTCCCCATCTGTTCCTGTGAAGTTGGCAACAGCTGGTAGCCAGACTGGGATTGGGGGGAGTGTTAATTGTGATCTAATTAATAACTTTTAGCATTAGCTAGCCCTGAATGGACCAATGGGCTGTTAAGACAGCTAAGAATGCTCACTGTCTGATCATCAGTTAGTTTATTAGCATCCTTTTTGAGGGATTAGACAACCCCCTTGGCCCCCTACTCCTTCTGTGTTTGCAGGTCTGAAGGAACTGGACAGGTGTAAGCAATATGGTGGATGCTCCCCTATGCCCATTGAAGGGCCTTCAGCATAAGCCTATCTAGTCCCTTAAGATCTGCAAACACATAATGTGTAGGTAAGCAGTGGTGGAAAAAATTGTCAATTTTCCTGTCCTGCTAAGCATTCAAAATGTAACGAGTACTTTTGGGTGTCAGGGAAAATGTAAGGAGTAAAAAGTACATTATTTTCTTTAGGAATGTATTGGAGTAAAAGTAAAAGTTGTCAAAAATATAAATAGTAAAGTAAAGTACAGATACCCAAAAACGCAACTTAAGTAGTACTTTAAAGTATTTTTCCTTAAGTACTTTACACCACTGTAGGTAAGGGCTCAGGATTATTTTCAGGGGTATATTCCGTGAGCTGAAATGTTCAGAGGGATGCATATAGAAATGTATCAAATAAAGCTAACACACTTCCCTTTTCTACCTGAGAGACAATCAAGTCTGTTCTATGCAATCCATTTATATCTGAATGTTCCAAAAGAATCCCCCAGCAAACACGTAGTAGCACTCTGCATGGTTTTCAATGTCATTTCAGCCCAGCGACCAGTAGAGGTCACTGTTGAACAACACAACAACCCACTCCCCCTCCCTTCCCTATGCCCCCCATTCACCCCCTCCCTCCCTTTCCTCGCCAGGGTCCACTTCTTATTGTCATTGGGCTCACGTAGGGCCTGTGCTCAGCCAACGAACGAACAACTTCTCAGACAAAGCTAGCTGGCGTGCAACATATGTAACCAGCATGTTTCCGCCGCTGCTCTTATAGATGCGTGTCAACGTTAGCCATAGGAAGTGTGTGTTTCAGGAGGGGGGAGTAGGGAGAGGGGGGTGTATACAGATATGTGATAATGAGAGATGGCGCAGAGCCAAACAGCCTTCCACCGAGAAAACAATTGTGTGTGGGTGGGTGGGTGTGGGTGCGCGTGTGTGTATGTGTGTGTCCGCGAGTGATTGAGTAAGAGATAGAAGGAGGGGGGTTGTGAAAGAGAGTGAGAGGGAGCTAGAGTTGGAGAAGGTGTGAGAAAGGGAGAAAGAGGAAGAGAGATCGAGAGAGAGGGGGAGATCCAGAAAGAGCAAGAGAGAGGGGAGAGCTTGAGTTGGAGAGGGTGTGTATGTGAGTGAGAGAGAGAAAATATATACATAGAGAAAGAAAGAGAAAGAGAGAAAAAAGAGAGACGCATTGTGGATTCAAAAGCATGACCTGCAAGGCACCGTGTGGAACAACCCAACCCAAAACAAAGAGAGTTCACAGTTCCCCAGTCTCCCTGCCCCCCTTCCTCCTAAAAACACCCCCAGCCAGATGGACTACAGTACTAAGCAGTCAGTATGACTCCTTACAGTCCATACATACGTCTAGCAAACCCAGTGAGTGATAATGAGAGAGTACTATAGCCTGTGCAAACAATTGAAGCGCAATAGCACTTTATCCCCCGGAGCGATGTGAAGCGTGAGGTGCAACACTCAGTGGTTTAAGTAGGCGTTTAACCTCAAACTGTGTCGAATGGCCCGTTGTATTGACATGTCGAGGAAGCAAATACGGTATACATGGGATAGACTAGAGCCATGGAGCGCTGGTTGATATAGCAATCCCCAGAGCAGAGGGTGTAAATGAAGCAACAGGGGAGGATAATTCTAGATTCTAGGTGAATACTTGAATAAACATATTATATGATGGTAGATTGATAGTCCTATAAATGAAATGTGTTTCAATACATGCCTTCCTGCCTGTGCGTCTATAGTAGCTGTGTATAAGGGTTGTATGGGGTGTATAGCTGGGTAAGAGAGGGCCAAACCGGTAGAGCTGATGCTTACAGGTACCTGACTGGAGAGACTGAAGTTGCTGGCAGGGCTTCTCTTCTTACTGTTGGCGTTGCCCACGCTGCTGTTGGCACTGCTGGCAGAGTTCTTCCTTTTCCTCCTCTTCGTCGTCGTCTGTCTCGTTGGCTCAGCTTTGGCGCGACCAGCAAAGGAAACAAGAGCCATGGCGGACAACATAATGCATATACCAAGGTGGGGGTAACACATACACGCACGTGCATGTAGACTTGCACACACACCCATGCAAGCATCCACAGACAGACAGACAGACACACACAATACACACAATACGCAACAACTCAAAAATGATCCATGCTTTGTTAACATCAGAGGTGAAATCAAAAGGCGTTAACATCTCCCATGACATGCTCTAGTAAGAAAGAACCCCTGTTTCATTTGCATAATTGCTCAACGATAGACCTTGCTGCTTGACTTAATGTGACTGCCTTAATGACCTTGGTGTTGTACAGTTCTCGATAGTCTCTCCACATTAAAACGATCGATAACATCACCTTTTGTCCTACTGTATCTACAGTGTATCTTTAGTTGTACAGGCTTCTGTAGCCATTTATTGCTTTGCTTTGCTGTGAATTGCATTTGTGAGTCAGATTGTTTGTTTGTGTGCATCATTATATGAAGTTGTGATGTACAGTGTGGTGTTTTAGCAAACATTTGGGGTCCATTTTTGAATTTCATAGTGACGTAGAATGAAAAATGTGACATGTGTTGAGCATTCATGACGAAAATATAAAGTACACGACAATGCATTTCTTGGCATTCCGTTCAGAGAGAATAAAATGCAGCTCCCCTAGACTACTTCTATCTCTATTGAAAACTATACGAAGACAGAAAAGGTACCTTTTTTGTGATTTGTGGGGAATATTTCCGTTTTGAAGTTCTGTGGGTGTCCAGCTAAAACCGGAGCCAAAATTAGTTTTGTTTTATTGAAGTGATTAATTATTTTATGTAATTAAATGCCAGACAGAGGGAGAAAGAGAGACAGACCAGAAATGAAAACAGAGAGAATGAAGGAGAAAAAATTGTACATTCCCTGCAAGAAAGATATTGCCTAAACATTATTACTGTAGAAGACTTGCAATTATGAAAATACATGTTTTTTATGAGCTAGACATTTAATGAATAAATTAATAAAAGATGCAATTAAAAAAGCATGTGTATATCCTTGATCATTAATCTTGTGTAAAGTAATGAAATAGGTTAAGTAGAGATCTTAGCAGTACTTATATCTCCAAAACATTGTTTCTGAAATACATAATTTATGAATACATTGATTTAGCCATTTTCACCAAGTGTTTGTAAGAGAATGTTATTGCTCTGAATCTCAGTAAAAAATATATATATCATCTGTGATCTTCAAAAAGATGTCTGAAAATGAAATACATTTTTAGAGGTTCTTATACTAATCACACCAAGGGAGATGCTTTAGTATTCAAACATACACTAAGTGTACAAAACATTAAGAACACCTGCTCTTTCCATGACATAGACTGACCAGGTGAATCCAGGAAATGTGTTAAATCCACTTCAATCAGTGTAGATGAAGGGTTGGTGAGCCTTGACACAATTGAGACATGGATAGTGTATATTTGCCAGAGGGTGAATGGGCAAGAATAAAGTGCCTTTGAACAGGGTATGGTAGTAGGTGCCAGGCGCACCGGTTTCCGTCAAGAACTGCAACGCCGCTGGGTTTTTCACACTCAACAGTTTCCCGTGTGTATCAAGAATGATCCACCACCCAAAGGACATCGAGCCAACTTTACACAACTGTGGGAAGCATTGGAGTCAACATTGGCCAGCATCCCTGTGGAATGCTTTCGACACCTTGTAGAGTCCATGCCTCAACAAATTGAGGCTGTTCTGAGGGCAAAAGGGGGGGTGCAACTCTATATTAGGAAGGTGTTCTTAATGTTTTGTACACTCAGTGTATAATTTATCTGAAAAGATAACATGACTGAGGAGCATACACACGTTTAAAAAAAATCTAAACTGTAATGTCTGCAACTAGAACCAAATCAACTTCTCTATTACTACTACATTTTAATGTTTATGGCTGTCACGAGAAACTATCAAAATTGTGACGTCTATTACCAATTCCCATCCACTACTTTGACAAACCTGGGTACAGGAACATGATGTCCATTGTCAGAAACAACCTTTTCTGGCATCACGACTGTTTACGTTTATGTTGAACAAAAAATTCACTAAAACTCACATCCATTTCCACAAAGAATACTTATCAGCGCATAAATGCGGCCGTGCTTCCTTCCTCGCTAAACCAGAACTATTTTCCTGGTCCGAGAAGAATTGGAGGAAAGATGAAAAACTCGACTAATGAGGAAACCACAATTACAGTAGACCGGCTTAGTTCCGTTTGGTTTTGTTTAAAAACACAGCTGGACGGACAAGCTGTAGTGGCACACGAAAGATTTATGACCAGCAAAACTGAACCTAGATCTGTTTCAAATGACTAAAGATACCATTCTAATAACCTGGCTATACACCCAATACAATGTTAAGCATAAAGTCCACTAGTCTGGAAACCAGTATTGAGTCAAGGCAATCTGTAAACACATACACAGAGGATTCTGGATCCCAAAGCTGTCTCAGCTCCTATACAGCTGATACGTTTGGCATCTTAACATTTTTTTCACTTAACCCTGACACTATACAACGTGCAATTGAACAAAGATTTATCCCCTTGCGCACAATTAGACATTGACAGTTCAACCTATCCTTTTTCAAAGGGTCTGTTCAAGAAGATTCTACATTCATTGACAGTGAAAACTGAAAAAAAATCCTAAGTGAGAATTCAAACCTCTGGGGATCCATCCGTGAGGGAGTTGGATCTTGTAGTTTGATTACACCAGCCACCCTTAATTAAAGTTCAGAAGCCTTGCACATTACACAGATCTGAGTCAAAGGGTTTCTACTGGTGTTGCTTTTGAAAGACGTCTTGTCATGCCCTGGCGAACATTGCAGTAATTTGCAGCCCTCGAATATGTCCAAAACACCTGCTCATTTCTACTCCAGCCAATTTAAGCCAACTATTTTTCAAGAACCACCCTTCGAACATCAATCATAAAACCCTGAAATGTCCAGTTACGGTCTATTCAAATTAAAATTCCAGAGCCATTCCTGATAAATTTCCCGATTCCTGACAGGGAGAATACATTTTAAGCATACGCAATATAATAGATATTTACCTTCTCTGTTCTTTCAACATGGTCTCATTAGAAATTAGACAATCTAACCATTGTCACTATGTCACCTCAGCTCTCCTATTACTTATAAGTCACTATAACAACATTGGCTGCGTCCCATAGGTCTCTGGTGAACAGTAGTGCACTATATAGAGAATATGGTGCCATTTGGGACGCATCCATTGACAATTGCAGACAAGTGTGTTTGGTTATTAAGGCAGTATAAACGTTACCTGGTGGGGCCACCATTCTCTGCCACTTCTGGAACAGGCATGTCTTCAGACAGTCCCTAGGGCTGAGGTTGTACGTCTTGTGCCTAGACATGAGCTCCTGCATGGGCTCCAGGATGACACACAGCTGCAGGTGATGGAGAACACGAACACGAACACACACACACACATGCAAATGTTAGATTCGGTAGTATTAAAACACAAATGCATATACAGTGCATGTTTTCCATGTTGGTGAAGATGGATCTTTAATCACTATGTGAGCTTCGCTCAAAAGGGTATCACTTATACATACTGTATCTGAAACTCCGTGTACAATTAGAGAATCCAACAAGGAGCATCCTCAAGTGACCTATGAAGTCATCACAAAGAGGACACATGTGGGCCAGTTTGGCAGTTTGAATAGGACAGAGTTTCACATGAGGCAAACTACCTCCCTCAACAGTTCTCTTAACCAGCCAATTCACTATGACCAAACTCTGTTTGGGCACTTACAGTAGGTTTATACTCATAGGCCTATCAAAACAGACCTGGGCCTGTATTCAAAGTAGGACTGCTGATATAGGATCAGTTTAGGCTTTTAGATCACAAGGAATACGATTATATGTAGGGGGGACGGACCTCATCCTAGACCAGCACTCCTACTCTGAGATGTTTTTTGAAATACCAGAGCAACGAGTCACAGGGTCCACCAATGCCATTCACTCTATTACTACAGAGCTATTTTATAATGGCATTGGACTGTCTGCAGGCAAAGTGAACATGCATGTAGCCCACCAAACCCATGTTCTTTCTCTGATATTGTCCTCTTGACACAACTATATCCCCCCTAGCTCAGGGAACAATCCCTGGGCCGGCAGGTAGCTTAGTGGTTAAGAGTGTTGTGCCAGTAACCGAAAGGTTGCTGGTTCTAATCCCTGAGCTGACTAGGTGAAAAATCTGTCGATGTGCCCTTGAGCAAGGCACTTAACCCTAATTGCTCATGTAAGTCGCTCTGGATAAGAGCGTCTGCTAAATGATTTGAGCCTGAAAACTAGTGCTATTTTCAGGTTCAACGGTAGGAAGCCTGCTTTATGGCTCTAATACACGGAAAGGCTTAAATACACTGACCCTTGGCCAGGAAACGGTCAGTCTCTTTGGGAAGAACTGATAAACGATGGGAAACGGACGAGTGCCTTTCGAAAGACAATAAAGACTCCATTTATGTGAGGAAAGGGCGTGTTTTTTCTGAACACCGTCACTAAGATAGTGAGAGAGAAATCGCTATGGCTCACTGTGACGTGAGTAAGAATGATGATGTTTCCTCAAAGTACAGTATGAAATTAACCCCACGCCGACCTCCAAAAGTCGGCCAATTAGACTAGGATTTGTTGGTGAAAAATGACAGGGGGTGTTTTTATTTGGGATAAATGAGGTAGGTTGTGGGGAAGGGTGTCATTTAAAAAAACTAACCAACCCTCAAAGGAATAGCCTAGTAGTTCTACACTAACGGCCAATGGAGAAATCTCCTATAGGTAATGGATGATATGCTGTCAATAACTGAAAAGCAAGGCTCAAATTCAAAATAGAAAGGTGAAAATATAAAAAATAAAATAAATGATAATATAGGTGTGTTATGACACAAACATCTCCAAAACTGCACTCAATATATTCCATATGATTAATCCATATGCATTCTATAATCATTTTCATGGTAAGCTGCTATGACAACATCAACAACAACAAGAACAAAAAAGAAGTCCAACAAAATGGTAAGAATGGTTGTTAAAAAATCAACCCCCAAGCCCTCTTTCTCTGTCGCTCTCTCTCTTTCTTCCCTCTCTCTCTCCACAGTCTTCTAAATAAACAGTGGCTAGGCTCTTCGCCGTCTCTCCGCGCGGCATTTCACAATTATGAGTCTCAACAGGGAGCGTTCATTAATGTTATGCTAATTTTCTCGATCCAATTAATTCGCCCCCTCTCTCGTTTCTCCCTCGCTCTTCCTCTCTTGTTCTCCCATTTGGAAATCGGAGCTGTCACTCAGTCTTGGAATGAAAAGCACAAACAAAAGACAGCTGAAATAATGTCTAATGTATTCTGGTGCAGGCTGCTGAGACTTTTACTAAATATATGTTATAAATACAGTGAGGAATGGACCTAAAAAGTAAGCAAGGATATACATATAGGGGGATATTCACTGATGTATTTAAGTATTGTTTTCATTACAATAACACATTGTGATAGCTGTCAGTCTGTGAATGTAATTTTGTATATTTGTTCTTGAAATTCTTAAAATATCCTGAAAAAGAATCTTCAGGTAGCCATACCTAATTAAAATGGTGGATGGTATATCAAGGTGATTGATAGATTGAGTAGTGGCGGCGTGTGAGTGCCTGTCTTTCTTTGTGTGTCTTTATGTGAGTGTGAAAGGAAGAGAGAGAAAGCAACAGAAAGACAGATAGACCCACACAGACACAGACAGAGGAGAGAGAGAAAAAGGGTGATTGAATTAAAGTGTGTGAGTGAGTGAACGAGAGAGAGAGAGAGATCTTACCCTGAGGTAGTTGAGGGTGAAGTTGGTGAGCCCCATGCGGGTGATGTTTTTGGAGAGCTGCTCCAAAACCTGGGGGTCTTGTGCCTAAGGGTTGGGGAAGGGGGAGCAGGGAGCGGGGGTAGGGGGTAATGAAATTGAGAGAGGCAACATACAGTTAGCACTCTTTCATATAATAGAAGTCTTCAGTCTGAAAATGCAGTGTATTGACAAAGCAAGAGACCGCTTGGCCTGGCGCATGCTTCCATTCAGAAGCTTATGAAAAATGCATAGTATCATCTCCAGTCGTATCTTTGTGTAGAGAAAGTCAGGAAGGAAAATATCAAGTCATTCTGTATTGTCCAAGAGGAGAGAAAGACAGAACTTTGCTTTGCTTCTGCTCTAGCATTGGCTAGGTCGCTATTGAACCAACGACTACCATAAAGTTGAGTCTGAGTATGTGGATAAAGGACTATAATTTGAAAATGGATATTAAATAACAACGCCAACTAGCCACCTCATTACAGCTTAGTATTGTGAGAACCTGTGACTCCAAGAGGTGTCAAATGCTTTCTCAACCATGGTTATCAATAACTACATTGAATACCCATTCGAAAATAACATTCAGTGTCAGAATAGTCTAACTTTAAATACCCACAAAACTGTGAGACTATGAAATACCCACATCATTTCCATTCCAAAGTGTGTGCTTTTACAAGAAATGAATGCTCGAGCAAAAAAAATAATGTTTAAAATGTTATTAAAAAAAGCCTGCGATGTGTGTGTGTGTACGTGCATGCGTGTGTGTGTGTACGCGCATGTGTGTGTATGTGTGTGTGTGTTGTGTGCATGTCTGTGTGCATACGCACAAGCACAATTGTGTCTGTCTAAATTCAATCTTCTCACTTCCAGCCCTGGCTCTCTCTACCCTTTTCATTAGTCCAGGCTATGATCAAAAGAGCTAACTCACTTTTACACATCCCTCACATGCCTGTGAAATATTAGGCCAGGGCCCACAATACCCTACTCTCCTGGAATTAGTGGGAATACCCACAGGGGCCAATTTAATGGTGTGTGAATTTCATATCAAGATTTGGCAAAAAGAAGGCGGCTGGCTATACGGGGAAAACTACTTCTGAAATATACCTGTAGGTCCACAGGGCTGAAGAAAATAGACTGTTTCTATCAGTCATTGTTACACACTTCGAGGTAGGCTATGCGTTTAGGTTATGATGGGTTACATGCATATGGGTAATGTATTTTATGCATACATATTCAAGATACTAGAGTATGTCAAGAGTATGACTGTGCACTACTGAATATAATATACTATGTCTAACGTATGAAATTATGACAACCTATAATTTGCTCACTTCACTTGCCTTCCCTCCGTGTGACTATTATTGTTCGTTACACTTACTGGAATTAAACAGATTATTCATTTGACCTTGTTGTTTTTTTTTGCTCAGGCAAGGGGCCTCTTTGATCCAAGCTTTCCTTTGATGTCTGCAAATAAATTGGTTTATCAAATCCCTCCAAATTGGGACACTTTCTAAACTGCTTTGTATGGCTTTTAAATTCATATGCTATGAATAGCATTTAAGTGTCTTGGTGGAGTTGGGGCACTTCAGACCCTGTGGAGTAGGACTCGCATTACAATTTGAGGATAGGATACACCTGAATGGAAAATGGGTGGGTGACATATAGTTAGAGGACTTATCTTTGTATTGTGCCATTTTAGCGTCTGTGAGAGCACAAGCAGCGCCATTGAGGCCATCTCCATTTTAAAGTTGTCCATTTTCTTCTTCTTTTGTTTGAAAAAAGCATACAACTAATATTGGTGATTTACTGCCACCTGCATTGCGGGAGTCATGAATCAAATATTGTGTCATTCATTTATTGTGGCCACTATATAGCTGTGATATAGCTTAAAGCCATTTACAAACCATGCAACCAATTGGTCCCAGGCCTCCCACAGTGAAAAAGTTGAAATTCACAACTTTCCTTCATCTGCTTGCTATGCTATCATATTTAGCCTCAAATTGAAGTGTTTTACCATTTTCTTTTCAGGACAACCATGGCTACAAGAACACAAAACAATTAGACATAAACAGTTGCATTCATGAGTTAATTGACAAATGTCAATTAACAAATAATGCTCACCACACAAAAACCAGTAAGAAAAATGTATTTATAAGAATGCTATAAGTACAGTAATTGTTTGCTCAGTGGGACATGAACATCCAACTAGTCAGTGACAACTGTGTGGAGTTGGAATTTGTGACAGCAACTATGTGAGCTTACTACAGTATTATAGACACTACGTCATGGGATTTCCTATGATCTTCTATGTAGAAGAACCCCTTACCTTCTAACGACTGTTGTGTGGCTTATGAGCGTCATAGATCAAAACATTACATGTGCGTGTTCGTGAGAGTCTCCGCTTTTCATAGTGGGTTCATAATACTTTGTAGCTCAAACCGTTTTCGAGATTCACCCATCTCACAAACACATCTCTAGTACACCTTTCAAACCAATACATTTTTACACCAACTTTAGCATCCCGACAACTTTTTGCTGCCTTTCCTTTATGTGTTGTTGTCCGACATCAAACTTGTCCTTGTCATTATGAAAAAGTATAAACACAAAAATGGCAGTCCGCATGGCATGTCAGTAGCCTGGTCCAAATAGCAACGTTACCTGCTACATTTTTTGCACAAAAAAAACATCAATTTATGTCAATCTAGCAAGCCAGGCAACTAAAAGAAACTTTCTCTAGACAATGACTTGGTTTGTTGCTAACATTAGCTAGCTTGTTAGCTATCTACAACGTTTTGAGTTTAACTGTAGCCACATTTTTACTCACCCAAACAGGAAAATAAAACACATGACAAATTATTTACAAGTATGGCGAGCTGCTAACTTACTGTTGACCTACTATTGTGAATGTGAAGAAATGAAAGCAGTACATTGAAAACAGCATTTCTGTCGGATTTAGAGCTTGCCCTCAGGTTACCATGACAACGACCGCAACAACAGATTCATAGTTGAATGTCTCTTGCTCAGTTGCGGCAAGCAATGGCAATATACAAGTCGAATGCCGATAAGAATGTGGAAAATATTTGGCTGTTTGAAAGGGAACCATATAAACATTGCCCAATAATTCTTTCTGCCAACATACTGCAAATCCTATGTGAATTAGGTATACTTCACTCCCTGTCAATCGCACAGCTAATGGTGGAAGAAATAGACGAATCCAATGCAAAGAAACTGAAGTCTGTAGCAAACACACAATGTTTAAAAGTGGTTAGAAGCGTGAGTGTGGGACTCAAGAGGCTGAAAAAGACAATGCTCTGATCATTGGCTGATCGCTCCCAACGCATCCTCATCCAGTTGACTACTTTAAAATGGTGGAAGCACTCAATGGCAATGTCCATGCAAAAACAGGGTATATCCATGATGAGTCCTCATTATTCTCTATGGTTCTCACCATTCTCTATTATTCCCTATTATTCTCATAATTCTCTATCATTCTCCATGGTGCGTGGGTGGCACATGTTGATGATGTCAAAGCATAGATTTGGATAGATGGCACATCTTTGCATCTTGCCATATAGCTTCTGTGACAGCGTGGGCAGCGCCCTCTATCCAACTCTATGTGTTACATTTGTGAGTGCAGTCAGCACATGTTGATGATGTCATACTACTCACGTGCATGGCCAGGATGCTGCGGGGGATGAGTTCTCGGTTCTGCCGGATGGTGAAGTGCCAGGTCTTGATCCTCATGAGGTCATCAAAGGCAAATTCAAGAATCAGTCGACCCTCTGTGCATACCTGTCCAACAACAAAGATGGGGTAACACTTTATTTGAAGGGGGTATACATAAGGCATGCATAACACCTTCATGAGACCAGGCATGACACCTTTATGAGTGTTGCAGTATCATTCATAACAACCTTTGTAACAAATGTAGGCCTACTCAGCTTTATTCAAGAGAGGTTTTCAAAATAAAAGTCCATTAGTACACAGTAGGCTACCGTTTACGTCACCTTTGACATCATTCCCCATATTGATGTAGAGTGCATTCGGAAAGTATTCAGACCCCTTCACTTTTTCCACATTTTGTTACGCTACAGCCTTATTCTAAAATGGATTAAATAAATAAACATTCTCATCAATCTACACACAATACCCCATAATGACAAAGCGAAAACATATATATATATTTTTTTGTGTGCAAATGTATTGAAATTAAATAACAGAAATACCTTATTTACATAAGTATTCAGACCCTTTGCTATGAGACTCGAAATGGAGCTCAGGTGTATCCTGTTTACATTGATCATCCATGAGATGTTTCTAAAACTTGATTGGAGTTCAACTGTGGTAAATTCAAATTATTGGACATGATTTGGAAAGGCACACACCTGTCTATATAAGGTCCCACAGTTGACAGTGCATGTCAGAGCAAAAATCAAGCCATGAGGTCGAAGGAATTGTCCGTAGAGTTCCGAGACAGGATTGTGTCGAGGCACAGATCTGGGGAAGGGTACCAAAAAATGTCTGCAACATAGAATTTCCCCAAGAACGCAGTGGCCTCCATCATTCTTAAATGGAAGAAGTTTGGAACCACCAAGACTCTTCCTAGAGCTGGCCGCCCGGCCAAACTGAGAAATCAGGGGAGAAGGGCCTTGGTCAGGGAGGTGACCAAGAACCTGATGGTCACTCTGACAGAGCTCTAGAGTTCCTCTGTGGAGATGGGAGAACCTTTCAGAAAGACAACCATCTCTGCAGCACTCCACCAATCAGGCCTTTGTGGTAGAGTGGCCAGACGGAAGCCACTCCTCAGTAAAAGGCACATGACAGCCCGCTTGGAGTTTGCCTAAAGGCACCTAAAGGACTCTCAGACCATGAAAAACAAGATTCTCTGGTCTGATGAAACCAAGATTGAACTCTTTGGCCTGAATACCCAGCGTCACATCTGGAGGAAACCAGGCACCGTTCATCACCTGGCCAATACCATCCCTACGTTGAAGCGTGATGGTGGCAGCATCATGCTGTGGGGATGTTTTTCAGCGGACTGGGAGACTAGTCAGGATCGAGGGAAATATGAACAGAGCAAAGTACAAAGAGATCCTTGATGAAAACCTGCACCAGAGCGCTCAGGACCTCAGACTGGGGCGAAGGTTCACCTTCCAACAGGACAACGCTAAGCACACAGCCAAGACAACGCAGGAGTGGCTTCGGGACAAGTCTCTGAATGTCCTTGAGTGTCCCAGCCAGAACCCGATCGAACATCTCTGGAGAGACCTGAAAATAGCTGTGCAGCGACGCTCCCCATCTCCGTAGCCGATGTGAGGAAAACCTTTAAGCAGGTCGACATTCACAAGGCCGCGGGGCCAGACGGATTACCAGGACGTATATTCAGAGCATGCGCGGAGCAACTGGCAAGTGTCTTCACTGACATTTTCAACCTCTCCCTGACCGAGTCTGTAATACCAACATGTTTCAAGCAGACCACCATAGTCCCTGTGCCCAAGAAAGCAAAGGTATCCTGCCAAAATGACTACCGCCCAGTAGCACTCACATCGGTAGTCATGAAGTGTTTAGAAAGGCTGGTCATGACTCACATCAACACCATCATCCTGGAAACCCTAGACCCACTCCAATTCGCATATCGCCCCAACAGATCCACAGATGACGCAATCTAAATCGCACTCCGCACTGCCCTTTCCCACCTGAACAAAAGGAACACCTATATGAGAATGTTGTTCATTGACTACAGCTCAGCGTTCAACACCATAGTGCCCACAAAGCTCATCACTAAGCTAAGGACCCTGGGACTAAACACCTCCCTCTGTAACTGGATCCTGGACTTCCTGACGGGCCGCACCCAGGTGGTAATGGTAGGCAACAACACATCTGCCACGCTGATCCTCAACACTGGGGCCCTCGGGTGCGTGCTTAGTTCCCTCCTGTACTCCCTGTTCACCCACAGCTGCGTGGCCAAGCACGACTCCAACACCATCATTAAGTTTGCTGACGACACAACAGTGGTAGGCCTGATCACCGACAACGATGAGACAGCCTATAAGGAGGAGGTCAGAGACCTGGCAGTGTGGTGCCAGGACAACAACCTCTCCCTCAACGTGAGCAAGACAAAGGAGCTGATCGTGGACTACAGGAAAAGGAGGGCTGAACAGGCCCCCATTAACATCGACGGGGCTGTAGTGGAGTGGGTCGAGAGTTTCAAGTTCCTTGGTGTCCACATCACCAACAAACTATTATGGTCCAAACACACCAAGACAGTCGTGAAGAGGGCACGACAACACCTTTTCCCCCTCAGAAGACTGAAAATATTTGGCATGGGTCCCCAGATCCTCAAAAGGTTCTACAGCTGCACCATTGAGAGCATCCTGACCGGTTGCATCACCGCCCGGTATGGCAACTGCTTGGCATCCGACCGTAAGGCGCTACAGAGGGTAGGTGTGTATGGCCCTGGGGCATCACTGGGGCCAAGCTTCCTGCCATCCAGGACCTATATACTAGGCGGTGTCAGAGGAAGGCCCAAAACATGGTCAAAGACTCCAGTCACCCAAGTCATTCACTATTCTCTCTGCTACCGTACGGCAAGCGGTACCGGAGTGCCAAGTCTAGGTCCAAAAGGCTCCTTAACAGCTTCTACCCCCAAGCCATAAGACTGCTGAACAATTACTCAAATGGCCACATGGACTATTTACATTGACTCGAGGCTGTAATCGCTGCCAAAGGTGATCCAACAAAGTACTGAGTAAAGGGTCTGAATGCTTTAGTAAATGTGATATTTAAGTTTTTATTTTTAATACATTTGCAAAAAAATCTAAAAACCTGTTTTCGCTTTGTCATTGTGGGGTATTGTGTGTAGATTGATGAGGGGAAAAAAACAATTTAATCAATTTTAGAATAAGGCTGTAACGTAACAAAATGTGGAAAAAGTGAAGGGGTCTGAATACTTTCCGAATGCACTGTATTTATTTTACAATCAGACATTTTTAATTCGCTGGCATGTGGACGTCTGTTTATTTGGGTAATCGCAATGGGGATCGATTTTTATAAGCGAGGAATGATTTTCATGAAATTCAGCATGTCCTTCAGTTTCGAATTTGTTCAAGTTGTTTGGAATTGGGCAGACTATTATTTACTCTGTCCTTATTCAGCAGGTCTGTCCTTGTTCCTCTCATCCCTCACACTATCTTGAAGATGACGTTGAGAGGATTGTGTTCACGGCAGAGACAAAATAACTTTGGGTCAGAGAGAGTTGCCAATTAAAAGAGAGAATGAGAGAGGGAGAGTGTGCAAGAGAGAGAGAGAGCGCGAGAGAAAGAGGGAGAGTATGTATGTGCAGGAGTGAGAGAGAGACAGAAAAAAAAACACATTCGCCCCTTTAGCCGAATTCAGTGTTGTCGGGGCCCTTGCAGTTCCCGGTTTTGTTGCTGTGGCAACCGGAGGGAGAGAGCGGGCAGCAAAAAAAAAGAAATCAGCTGATTAGTTGGCATGGCAACCAAAAAGATGTAATCCCACCAGACACACTCTAATCAATGCCCCCAGCACAGATGGTCTCTAGAGGATCAACAAGAAAGAGGCTGGCGGGCATACAGGCCTGGTCACGTGGTATCACTTCGCCACACTGGAAAAAAATGGAAAAGTAGAGAAAAGGGAATATTTTTTCCTCTGCTATCTCCTACCATTGAATATATGATTCAACCCATTCTGGTGATGTGGTTTAGTCTATGCTACTTGGCTAAAATGTGAGGATGTTTCTCTATGCAGTAAGCACTGTCTGGATTTTGTAGTCATGAGTTATTCTGGCCATTGCGATGAAATGTCGGAACTACTTTCTGATAGTTATGAAGTTAGTCGTTGGATGTCCAACAATGTGGTTGTTTTTAGATTGTTGTTTGCAGATTAGACAGAAGCAATATTTGAAAATAATCCTAACTGTTTAATTGACAATGGAAAGGGCTTTCATTCTAGTTTGATCATGATTCCAACTGTTTCTCAGACTAGTGACCTCTGGCCACAGTGCAAAAGTATGAGTTTAACGATACTGGCTACAGATGTAAGTGAAATTCTGTAACGCTTCCATTGGTAGTAACACAAAGACCTACACATGCTAAAATATATTTTTTGCACATTGTGAAACATTCTATTGGGAAACACCATTAAGTGTTATCAGGGGAGTTAAACAGACTATTAGGATTGTTTGCCTTTGGGGATGCCCTTGAGCCAAAAGGGGTCCCCTAAATGTACAGAAATATTGTCCAGAAAAAAGAAATAATATTATATCATATATGTATATAAACTGTACAGCCAAAATTCAAGCCAACATTTTACTTGGCAACTACACCATAGTGAAGGTTCTTTATTGGTTGGCTAAAATGGCTTGTTATTTAAAATCGTTACCAATAAAACCTTTACTCTTACAATACTACACTTCAAAGTATGGGCAACTAATGAAAATCCTAGCGAATAAAAACAGTGGTCATAAAAAGGTAAGGCCCCTTGGAGAGTCCCAATTGATTTAAGAAGCCTGCAATAAATCTTCTCCACATTCGATTGGCTAAGGGATCGCAGCCACATATTCTGGGAGGAGAGAGTATAACAGCATCACAAGCTTGCTCAAGAGACACCATTCTCTACTGTATAAGATGCTACTGTAGGCCTAGGTTTATATATAAATATTATTTAAATATACACATTATTCATTATGAATAAGGGTGTAATAGAGCATTAATAATACATTTGTAACATATAGTTACATTCTAAAACATCATATACATTAATTATGTATTAGGCTGTTATAGGGTGGCTTGGGGTTAAACACCCCCAGGGTTAAACGCCCCCAGGGTTAAACGCCCCCACTCTCACAGAAACCACTTTATGTCACCAAAACATTTTTCAACACTTTCCCTGGATGCCACTAGTCTTGCTCAACTTAAAATGTAATCCGTCTCATCTCAACTTTTTAAGTCATTCCAACAAAACTCCCAAGTGGTGCAGCGGTCTAAGTCACTGCATCTCAGCACTAGAGGCGTCACTACAGACCGTGGTTCAATTCCAGGCTGTATCACAATCTGGCTGTCCCATAGGGCAGTGCACAATTGGCCCAGCGTCGTTCGTCCGGGGTAGGCCGTCATTGTAAATAAGAATTTGTTCTTAACTGACTTGCCTAGTTAAATAAAGATTTACTCAAATTAAAAACAATTTTGAGGTACACTGATCTAATATTTTGTCATTTAGAAAAAGTGATATATATATCTTATATCTATAAACGTTTTGTGTATATATATATACACCAGTAGGGGAGCTTAAGATAAATAATCCAGTTGGTTAGAGAGAAAAAAGTTTTTTATAAAGTAGTTAAATTTAAAGTGAGTATGTTTGGGGCAAAACCACCTGGGCAATCAATGCAAGTCAATGGTACCTATATTAGCCCTGACAGTGGGGCAAAACACACCCCTTTCTAAAGTTTCTGTTTTTATTGAGAAAAAAAAATCCCCAAGTTACATTACTCTACCGTTAATAACACAGGAAATACATTCTGTAGTCAAGTGTTACCCTATTCATTATATTAGGCTGTAATATACCGTTATTACACTGTTATTACGTTCCAATTCATCAACCTTATCAATTCAATTCAAATTGGCTTTTGCTTAAACAGTTTACTCAATAAATGAGAATTAAACAGAGAGAGATAGAATAATTGACTGTCCCTATAGGTAGGGCTGGCCCACTATGCTACAGTAACAATGGCTTTGGTCCCGATGCTACATCCACAGAGCTCCCGTCTGGTTTTTCCATCCCCCACAGGAAGTCCTAGCAACTGGGCTACAGTAACAAGGGCCTTGCCCCTCTGCTTCATCCACAGAGCCTATGCATAGTGGGGCCCGCTGTGTGTTGAATCAAGGTTCTGGGATACCATAGGGATGCAGCGGGGGGTACCATCGTCCAAAAACTGACACCCTCGCCTCACACGCACACGCACACACTTCCACACACGAACACATACACACACATGAACACGCACACATGCCAGGTTTACAAATCCAGATTACTCCCAGCGGAATCGCGGGGGCTTGTCCCTCTGGGATAGGGAAGGAGCCAAGAATGATTTCTCCAGGGATGAGAAATGGGGGGCTGGAGGAAGGAGGGTGGAAGGGTGGAGGTGAGAGAAGAGGGGAGTGAGGCAGAGCTCATTGAGATTCAGCACTCCAGAGCCAGAAGCCTGGATAGGAGCTCCCGGAACGTGCTCTGTTAGTGGAATTTCTTTTAATGAATTATTTTTTCCCCCTTCCTGATTTTGCTAAAGCTTAAATGGGCCAGTTGAGAAAATATCACTAAAAAATGTTATTTACCGTGTTTGTGTGTACTGTTAATGTTCTTCATCTGTTGCAGTTTATGCAAGCTATGGTATAACCTAACATTGAGGCTAGGTTTTATGATAACACTGCATTGTGGGTAATTTTATGGAGTTAAATTGTGTGTGTACTTCACTGCAGTGTTCATTCATGGCACAAGGAATCCCTGTAGCTATCCTCGCCTCACTTTAAATTCAAAAGACAGTCTGCAGAACCAGATTCCAACACAGTTGACCATCTGAAGTGTTGCTAGATACTCCTTTTAGGAGCCACACCCACCATACATTTACTCTCTTCAGCTTTGTGGAAAATAATTTCATAAATGTAAAAAAACTATGACACTTATGTCATGGATACGAACTTCAAATAAATCATTCCAATTTGATTGCGAATTAAATAAAATCGCATAAGAACTTGGTGACTCACAATGACAGCCTTGTATTTATTGCAGGGGTTATGATTACAGATCTTACCTTTGTAAACATTGGTTTACCATGCTGGGTGACCATGGTGCACTGATCACAGTCCACAGTGATGCAGGAGTTGTGGAAGGACTCCTTGGAGTGTTTGAGGATGTAGTACAGGTCAGTGACGCCGCCCTCAAACACCGTGCTGAAGTAACGCGGGACGAGTGTTCGTCCGATAGCTGAGAAAAATAGAAAAAAGAGGGGGGAAATTATCAATAATTGAAATATGGGACTAAAGCAGTGAAGGGTGAGTGTCTGTCCAATTTAAAACAGGGAAAAAAGATTCATCAAGTAAGTATTTCATTTGTAGACTCAAGTTTTTACCAAACTAGCCTTTGTAGGCTAGTTATTACATTTAAGTCATTTAGCAGACACTCTTATTTAGAGCAACTCACAGTTAGTGAATGCATACATGTTTTTTTTTCATACTGGCCCCCCGTGGGAAACGAACCCACATCCATGCCGGCCAAACCCTCCCCTACCTTGGACCAATTGTGCGCTGCCCATGGGTCTCCCGGTCGCGGCCGGCTGCGACAGAGCCTGGACTCGAACCAGGATCTCTAGTGGCACAGCTAGCACTGCGATGCAGTGCCTTAGACCACTGCGCCACTCGAGAGTCATAGCTATGGTCTATTATAATGTGTAGGTATGTGTAGGTACCTGACAAAGACCTATAGGTAGATATAAAGTGTTACACAATGTATGCTACCCAATTTTAGCCATTACTGATCTGCTTTTCCTTGTCTAATTGTGAAGTAAACACATAGTACAAAGCAAACCATTTGTTTAGCAAAGTACAGGTTATTTCACTTGTTTGCCGGTTTAGTGAGGGAATTATTCCAAGCAAGCAAAGTAAAACCTGGACAGTCTGGTTTGAAAGTTACAGGAAAGCTGTGAAAGGTTACTAGAGAACCATAAAAGTACTAAAAGTGGAGGAACGGCGTGGATTTAGTGTTTGACAAAATCAAGAGAGCGAGAGAGCAGGGGAGGGGAAAGTATGTCAGTGTCTTTTGCCCTCAGGCTTTCTTGTTCTTTCTCCTGTTCCCTCTATTCTCTTTCAGCTAGTTCTCTGTTTAAATGAATATAATGAAAGATATAAAAGGATCATGCTTTAGGATACACTGTGACATTATGCAAAACAGAAAATATATCTCTTCATCACATTATCAGCTTATGTCGGAGTAGTGAATTTGTAACAAGGGAAGGAGACAATGTATCTACAATACAGTGTAATCTGAATTCTTGTTTGTTTGGGTTCCGAAGCAGCCATGGATTGGAAAAGCGGAAAAAGACTGTCTGAAAAAGAAGAAGAACAATTTCCGCTTGTGTTTTGAATCGAAAGAAGCCACGCATGTTGGAAATTCCTCATCCTACTCTCTCTCCCTCTGTGAAACAAGCTACATTATCCAGCCAGTCCGAGCAGAAATAATCAATTTTAGAGTCAAAACTCTGTTGGGTGGAATTATGTGACACTGTTCCCCCGAGGGAGCAAAGCTAGTGAAATAAAACTTATTTTAGAAATGTCCCCCAAAGACAGTAGTGGCTGTGGCTCCCAAGGTTATGACTGGAGAGAGAGAGAGAGAGAGAGAGAGAGAGAGAGAGAGAGAGAGGAGAGAGAGAGAGAGAGAGAGAGAGAGAGAGAAGAGAGAGAGAGAGAGAGGAGAGAGAGAGAGAGATAGAGAGAGAGAAAGAGCCCCCCTTGAGAAGCGAGAGAGGAGAGAGAGAGAGAGAGAGAGAGAGCTTGTCCTGTGTTCACAAACCTGTTAATCAAGGTTTCAAAGACCTCTCTGATGAGAATAGGCTACCCGTCCTATTGGGGAAGGACGCAGAGAGCTGTGGGTTGGCAGCGCACTACATTGCTGCCTGCCATAAAATGAGGGACAGTGTCTGACAGACCAAACAACCTGCACGACCTCTATCCCATTGTTATTGTTATTGTTCAATGTATGGTTATTTTGACCCTTGATTATTGTTGTTACTGTTGTCCCGTTGACAATATTGATTATTATTATTTTAATTATGTTAATATTGTAAATGTATTACTTAATCTCCAAAGTACGCTTTGGCAATATGTACATTGTTATGTCATGCCAATAAAGCAAATTGAATTGAATTGAATTGAATTGAATTGAGAGAGAGGGAGAGAGAGAGAGAGAGAGAGAGATAGGGGGAGAGAGATAGAGAGGAGATAGAGAGAGAGAGAGAGAGAGAGAGAGAGAGAGAGAGCTCGCTCTAGAGAGAGAGAGCTCGATCCTCGATATAGCGACGCGCGAGTTGCGATGTTCTACTTCTCTCGGCTCGCCCATGATTCAGAGCCTGTCCCTCTTCTTCGTCTCTCTTTCTTCTTGCTAGTCGCTCATCTTAATCCTAAAGAGGGGAAGCGTAAGAGGCTTCCCATTTTCTTCTCCACTCCTCAACATTTGTAAAGCCTCAGGAGCTACAACTATCCACAAAATACCGAACCCTCACCAAACAACACTGTAAGGGTAATTGGCAGCGGTAATTTCAATTTCAAGCCAGTCAGGTATACCCCATATTCTAGGCTGTGCATGTCTCAACTGTTGGATTGGCTGCAACAAGCTTGAATCTTAGAAAAAGGCTCGCATGAGTAAGCTCATGACCCAAAGAAACCCACTGAAGAATGGACCGAAGAACATGGTACAGAGACCTTTGCCACCAGAAACCCAAGAGTATAGAAGCAGGTCTGCGACCAAAGGTCTGGTTAATATGGACAATCAACTCCTCTTTCCGGAACCATTTTTTCTCCAAAATTTGTTTTTGTGTGTGTGAAGTGTCAGATCATGGAAAAGGTGCTATCTAGAACCTAAAAGGGTTCTTTGGCTGTCCCCATAGGAAAACCCTTTGAAGAACCCTTTTTGGTTCCAGATAGAACCATTTTGGTTCCAGGTAGAACCCTTTTGGGATCCATGTAAAACCCTTTCTACAGATGGTTATACATGGAACCGAAAAGGGTTCTTCCTGGAACCAAAAAGGGTTCTCTTATAGGGACAGCCAAACAACCCTTTCCCTTTTGGAACCATTTTTTCTAAGAGTGTATGTGTGTCTGTGTGTCTGTGTGTGTGTATGTGTGTGTGGACGTAGGTGCACGCAAAAAATATGGCTTTTTTGTTACTATTCAAAATGAATGGGTCAGGGACGTGGGGATTCTTAACGAGCCCCAAGGTTATTCAAATGATTGCCGCTTACAATTAACACCACTAGAGTAACAGAAACCTCTAGTTCACAAACAAACATTCATTTGTTTTGAAAATGTCTATCTTTCCCCCTTCCCCTCTGTCTCTCGCTCTCTCTCTCTCGCTCTCTCTCCCTCTCTCGCTCTCTCCCCCTTTCTCCCTCTCTCTCTCTCTCTCTCTCTCTCTCTCTCTCTCTCCCTCTCTCCCTCTCTCTCTCTCTTCCTCTCTCTCTCTCTCATTCTCTTATCTCTCTCGTTCCCATCTCTTTTTTTTTACCACCAAGTTGATTGGCCCATCTTCAGACGCGGGCACTCGAGAGATAGGATTAACCACAACTTGTTTGGGCGAACATGACGAGCAACATATGCCTCTCAAGTAATGTGTACCCAAACATGCAATTTACAAATAATTAACGCTGTGTTAATTAACCACACTAATTCATGCCACTTTGTGGAATTGTTCTCCCTGCGAGCCCCCAGGACCGCTGCCAGCAGCCCGAGCCAAAAAGACGTGTGAGAAACAGTTTGGCTCCGAGCAGAACGAAGGGTTTCTAGAGGAAAGGGGCCGTTGTCTGCCTTTCTACTACTTTTCTAGTGAATGAGCGCACACACACACACATATATGTGTACGTGTATGTGTGTGTGGTGGGGGGGGGTGTATGTGTGTGTATGTGTGTCTGTAGGTTTGTGTGTGTATGTGTGTGAGAGTGTGTGTGTGAGTGATGGTGGGGGAGGGGGGATGAGGGTGTACTGTATGTGTGTGTGTGTCTTTGGGTGTATGTTGGTGAGAGGGATGTGTGGAAGGTTGTGAGAGGGCTGGGGGTTGGAGGAAAGGAGAAAGGCAATATCCACTGTGCAACATATAACGACGCACAGAGGGACTGTAGTAGGAGCATGCTACATTGATGGAAAAAAGTATTTGATCCCCTGCTGATTTTGTATGTTTGCCCACTGACAAAGACATGATCAGTCTATAATTTTAATGGTAGGTTTATTTGAACAGTGAGAGACAGAATAACAACAACAAAAATCCAGAAAAACGCATGTCAAAAATGTTATACATTTATTTGCATTTTAATGAGGGAAATAAGTATTTGACCCCTCTGCAAAACATGACTTAGTACTTGGTGGCAAAACCCTTGTTGGCAATCACAGAGGTCAGACGTTTCTTGTAGTTGGCCACCAGGTTTGCACACATCTCAGGAGGGATTTTGTCCCACTCCTCTTTGCAGATCTTCTCCAAGTCATTAAGGTTTCGAGCCTGACGTTTGGCAACTCGAACCTTCAGCTCCCTCCACAGATTTTCTATGGGATTAAGGTCTGGAGACTGGCTAGGCCACTCCAGGACCTTAATGTGCTTCTTCTTGAGCCACTCCTTTGTTGCCTTGGCCGTGTGTTTTGAGTCATTGTCATGCTGGAATACCCATCCACGACCCATTTTCAATGCCCTGGCTGAGGGAAGGAGGTTCTCACCCAAGATTTGATGGTACATGGCCCCGTCCATCGTCCCTTTGATGCGGTGAAGTTGTCCTGTCCCCTTAGCAGAAAAACACCCCCAAAGCATAATGTTTCCACCTCCATGTTTAACGGTGGGGATGGTGTTCTTGGGATCATAGGCAGCATTCCTCCTCCTCTAAACACGGCGAGTTGAGTTGATGCCAAAGAGCTCCATTTTTGTCTCATCTGACCACAACACTTTCACCCAGTTCTCCTCTGAATCATTCAGATGTTCATTGGCAAACTTCAGACGGCCCTGTATATGTGCTTTCTTGAGCAGGGGGACCTTGCGGGCGCTGCAGGATTTCAGTCCTTCACGGTGTAGTGTGTTACCAGTTGTTTTCTTGGTGACTATGGTCCCAGCTGCCTTGAGATCATTGACAAGATCCTCCCGTGTAGTTCTGGGCTGATTCCTTACCGTTCTCATGATCATTGCAACTCCACGAGGTGAGATCTTGCATGGAGCCCCAGGCCGAGGGAGATTGAC